GACAGCGGGCGGTTTTGTACTGAACAAAAAAAAAATTTTTTTCGTCGGCGGAGAGGCCAGTTCTCGGCGGAGGCATTTGGGGCCTTTTTTAAAAATCACACCTTATTACATGGCGGAAACTCTGTTACAGTGGCCGAAATCATGTTTACGTTACACCTCCGTGGATTTTACGGTATGCTTTTTTTGCGTTTTCGATTTTACGCAACATCCGCGGAGGCGCGGCGGAGACCTCAGATTTCGGCGGACTTTGTTTTGGGCCCTCGGTTTTTGCAAATCCATGTTGGAAAAAAGGTTGGGGCGATTTTTTGTTGTCATCCGATGCACAGATGGCAAAAATTTTGTACTTTTTCCCCCCGGCGGAGGATTCGGCGGAGGCTTTATCAAAGGGTCAAAACAAAAGTTTGACTCTTTTGATAAAGCCTCCGCCGAATCCTCCGCCGATGTGTCCGCCGGACCAAAAAATAAGAAAAATGATGTTGCTGTGATGGATTCTTGTAGCTGAGTTTTTTTCCCGGACTCCTAAGACTGTTCTGACCCTTTGATAAAGCCTCCGCCGAATCCTCCGCCGGGGGGAAAAAGTACAAAATTTTTGCCATCTGTGCATCGGATGACAACAAAAAATCGCCCCAACCTTTTTTCCAACATGGATTTGCAAAAACCGAGGGCCCAAAACAAAGTCCGCCGAAATCTGAGGTCTCCGCCGCGCCTCCGCGGATGTTGCGTAAAATCGAAAACGCAAAAAAAGCATACCGTAAAATCCACGGAGGTGTAACGTAAACATGATTTCGGCCACTGTAACAGAGTTTCCGCCATGTAATAAGGTGTGATTTTTAAAAAAGGCCCCAAATGTCTCCGCCGAGAACTGGCCTCTCCGCCGACGAAAAAATTTTTTTTTGTTCAGTACAAAACCGCCCGCTGTCAAGTTTTAGAAACAAAAAGAATTTCTGCGATAACTAGCAAGAGCCCAAAAATATTCGCAACTAGTTTCTGCCAAATTTCTTGAAACACCCTGTATTCAAAACATGGCCAACATTTCATAACTAATTTCGCTGCCACAATCTTAGAAGAGAATATCACGTATTTTCAGATCTTTGGGCCTATAATTCCCACTCAAACTCTACGGCTTCTTCTTTTAAAATACTTTTTTGCCTACATTCAACGCCAAAAAATTAATCCGCTAATAAAACTTTTCCCAAGTCCCTCATAAAAGACTTGGCCAAAAAATAAAACCTGGATTATTGAGCAAAATCCTCCACGCACCTTCCCCTCGAGACCCATGACCTCGAGGGAAGTGTCCGATGATTTGCATGGCCTGCACGCGCGGATTAATAATTTCGCTCTTTTTCGCGAAATCTAAAGAGTAGACCCCTTTTCCCTTCGTTTTGACGCAAAATCCGCTTTTTTGGAGCTTCTAAAATAAGACCATTTCACTGTTTGAACTACAGAGACCCCAAATCTCGCGAAATTACCCAGTGAGAAAATGGAAATGATGACGTAGTTCGTAGCCGGAAGAGTTAGTTTTGGACAATTTTGGGATTAACAGGTCTTGTGAGTTGTCATTTTTGAGTAGCTTGTTATGGAGAGTGGAAAAATGAAAGGGGTTTGTAGTAGTTAGTAGTGAAGAATGAGACAATTGAAAAGTACAAAATTGAAAAAATCATAGATAATAAATTACAAATACAAAACAAATCCTATGCTTGACAAAATTAACAGAAGAAACTGAGGCAATCTTTTCTTATATCATACAAAATTATTGTAAAATACGCTCAGCTCCTCTCTATGAAAAATTACAATCATCAATTGTAATCTATTCAGAGAATGGCCGAGAATCTTACTGTAATTTCAAAATTTCCCAGCCTCCTCAGTTTGAGTCAACTTTCAATTCACCTATGGCCAAAGTCTGGCCATTTTGCTAGCCCTCAATTTCCACCTCTATTTCCAAATCCGGCATAGACTTCAACGCTGTCAAATAGCCTGGGGAAGTGATTCATAACGAGCTTATTCAGCACGTTGGTTGTTATAACAACATTTCACAACGTTCGAGGTAAAAAGAACAGAATTTTGAAATGGCCAAAGAACGAAACAAAATAAAATTTTTTGATTTTTTTTAAAAATATTAAATAAAAAATTTAACAAAAAATCTGCTGCAAAAATACTCGTATAGTTTTAAAAAAGCCAAAAATACGGAGAGCCGAAATTTTTCTCCCATTAAAAATAACATATAAAAAGTATGTAATGCTACTAAAAACATTAAAAAATCACACAAATCCCGAGTATGTCCACGGATTTCCCCTCGGGGTACTTGAAAAGCTCGAGAGTAATATAAATGGGGAAATAAAAGTCTCCGCGAAACACTCGATATCTCCTTTCAATTTTACTTTTCTCCGCATTATTTTCTCCTGTTTTTTGCGGAGGGAAAAAGTAATAAACAAGGATAAGAAAACGCAAATTGAACATGCAAAACAAGTCAATTGAAGAGGAAAGTGGATTGGAGTCAATTTAAAGGGTAATTTATTAGTCTGTCGGGAAAATAACGGCGGATCGTCGCAGAAAAATGTCTCGCCTCGCCGCTATCGCGCACCAAATCCCAAGTCGCGGCTTGCAGTCGCAAAGCGATGATGGGCGATTCGGAGGCGCGACGATCCGCCGTTATTTTCCCGACAGACTGATAGATCATCAAAAAAAATTTTTTGCAATTCTACAACTTTAAAAAAAAAAAAGCGTAGTATTTTGTTTCTAACCAAGATCATCTTTTTCCAGGCGAAAAACAAAAAGAAACGGACAAAAAAGTTTTTTTCTCTGACCGTCTCTCCACATTTTCCGTACTCTCTCGCAAAAAAGATTGCTGATTATCCCGGATGCATTCGAAATTGTTAGAAAAAAATTTTAGAAATTGATACGTGTTCTAGACAGAAAAGGTGCGCCAAATTTAAATGAAATCGACTGGTCGGCACAACGAGAAATTTTTGCTTAAAGTTTGATCTTTAAAATGCATAAAAATTTTTACATCATGCTCTATTTCGGATATTTATATTTTTCATAGAGCGTAAAATCTTCCAGGAATGACTTTCTGGATTATTTTAAGCTGTTTTCCCAACCAATTCAACTATCTGTTATCTTACAAAAACGTCAAACCCCCTTCGTTTTCTTCATTTTATATCCCCAATATCTACTCCAAACTTCTTGCAGGATCTCCCACGTCCTCACAAACCACCTTGGTTTCCCATCCACTCCAGGAAATGCTTCACCGGAAAGGAGAATTTGGGCTTTTACACGGAAAAAAGTGTGAGAAAGTGTGTCCTGGCCATTTTTGAAAAGAGAACTTCCTGCTGAAAGGATTAACTGGACCGAAACGCTCCCATTGTACATAACATCAAATAGGAGAAAAGATGGGAGCAAAAATGGGTTGGATGATAATCGGTTCCTAAAATAATATAGTATTTTTTGGCTTAATTGGCTGATATTACTTCAAAATGGTGTAAAGCATATGTAATAGTACAAACCTATGTGTTAAAAAACGCCATATTTTACAATTTAAAAAGGGGAGGCCCAAAAAAATCGAGTATTATCATACACCTAAACTAATATAACTTTTGCCCATAAACTGGCCTCAGATCACTTCAAATGGCTTTAGATAGCATTACACCCCTAAACTAACACGTGTGATACCATCTAACCTCATTTTGTGAGACAAAATTTGTATTACACTTGCCTCTTTCACCAGTTTTTGTCTCCAAGGACCCTTTAAATATTTAGACGCGTCTGAGACGGTCGTTATTCGAAAGTTGAGAACGCTTTGCATAAACAATTCTAGGAAAGCGAAAAGAAGAGTAATTAAAATTTAGTGTAGTCTTAATCCAATTTCGAGCCCAATTTGAGAGAGGTCAGTTCAGAGATCTTGAAAATTTTGACTTTTATAGAATTTGGAAGCAATACGAAGTTGTTTGTGTTCATTTAGAATAAGTAAAAGCGATCTTGCATAGCTCATTATGAAAAAAATACAGGCAAAAAAGTCGAAAAATTAGGGTACCAAATTTGGGAACGACGATGATTTTTGTGTAAAAACTTGATCATTTTTTTTTGATATTTTAGCCCGAAAAATCAAAGGGCATATTTTACTTTTGGATAGCCAAATTTTATACAAAGTCAACATCTACACACGTATTTTACAAAAATTTGATTTTTTTTTTAATTATCAAATATGCCTATAAAAAATTACTGTAGTACCATAAATTTAAACCATCAAAATTAAAATAAACTTCACCAAATATACCTAGAAGCCCTTGTGAATCGTCTTGGAGGAACCGGAAACCTTTCCACACCAACCTTTGCACCCAAATTCTCATCGGGTTCGAACTCGAGTCCCGTTTTTTCGAAGAATAATAAAGACAATTACAAACAACTTTTTGTTACTTGAAACGAACCGAACAGCAAATTGAAGGCTTTCCCGGGAAAGTGGAACAAATTTGATCCAAGAGTTGCAGGCGAGGGAATTCGCATTTATCCGATATAATTCAAGGTCATGTGGAACATCAAAATTGAGCTGGTTAATGTGAAAAGTCAGATAAAGAAAATTAATTTAAAGAATGAGGAAGTCTCACTTCTATTTTGACAGTTACTAAATGTTGTCAAAGTATAATTTATTGTGAAAATTGAAGTTTCAAAAAAGTTTTCAAGAAAAGGTAGTGTAATGTAAAATGCGCTAAAAATGATGTTCATATCGTATAAAAATCATCGCAACTCCTTTCTAGCTCAATAATATGCGTTTGTTTACAAGATGAAACCATTTAGCAGTAGAAAAACATTCAAATTCCATCATCGCCACCCTCCTTCCCGCGTCCCACCACGAAAAACAAATTCTTGGCGTTCCGCCGCATTTTTCTCGTTTTCCAACGTTGCAGATCCACGAAAACGGAGAATTCGACCCGGAAAGCAAGAATTACACGTCCTTTCCCAGCGAATTCCTCTTGAATTCCGTCCTGGATCAGTAATCTTTCACGATGGCCGAGAATGAAGAGAACCAACAGGAGATCACGCTCGATTCCGTCGAATTGGTCTTCGGATTCCCGTTGGATCGTGTTCATAAGCTGGCCATGAAGTATTACAAAGGTATGTTGACTGTTTTCGTCTTGTTTGTTTTGATTTTAGGCATGCATTTATTGATTCCAAGTGGTTCTTGCAGTTCGGACAGAGAGTTTTTGATTTTTATTGTGCTTTGAGATAATGTCCACGTGTTTTTTTGCTGGAACGCATTTGTTTTTATGTTCTTGTAGTTGCTAAGAGAAACTTTAGATAATAACGAGGGGAGTTTTGGCCTTTTTGGAGATGTACCTTGTTTTAGCTACTTTTTTAATGAAAAAATGAGATTCTTAGATTTAGGTATGTAAAATAAGACGTTATCGTTTGTAATTAGTTGACAGAGGCCTTGTGGAAACTTCTGAGTTAATCTTGGATTTTTATCCAAATCTTTTTTCTACATATTTTTGAGTTTTTTGCTTTTTCCTTGATTTTGTCTGACGAGTTCTATTTTTAGACCATGAGAAAACGGGTGAACTGCAAGTGGATTACCCAATTCGGCTCCGATTCATGGCGTTCTCCAAACAAGCTCGTTATGGTGTGTATAAAGATGAATTGGCTGATGTTGGATGGTTTGATTTGGTTGGAAATGATGCCAAGTGAGTTTTTAGGCGCTGTTCTTTTATTTTTGGCCAAAAAAATTTTTTTGAAGCTATTACTTGATTTCATAATTTCGTATGTGACTAGAGGAATGTAAAGCGATATAATTGGGCATAAATTGTTTAGTTGCGTCAATCTTTTTTATCCAAAGCCGTCATTTTTGTTACTTGTTCTTCGAACTGTCCCATAATTCAAATAAAAAACGGCATTTTGAATGCAAACCTTTTACAGGGTTTTAAAATTTCCGTCAAGTGTTTCTTGAACCGCCGAAACCAATTTACCCAGCAATCTGTTTTGGGGCCGAGGTTTTCGGCTAAATTGGCGGCCGAGAAGTCACCCGTGTTTCACGGCTTTAAACCCGATGCTGAGAAAAATTGGAGGGCTGAAACACTTTGTGATGTAATGTCTGATGTAGGAAGGGACATATTTTTTATATTGCACTAGACTTCATTCTGGAGAATGTAAAAATTTTTTTATTTTAAAATTTTTTGGCTGTGTATAATATAAACTGACCAAATATGACGTCTTGTTTATGGAAATGACACGTCTAATATCCAGAAATGCCTGTTTTTGGGCCGAACTGACGGGTTCGAGGTGAAAGATGCCCTATTGTTTATCCAGAAGGCCCTTCAGAGGGGCCTATTCCTTCGGAATGAACACTTTCTGGAGATCCCGATACGCTCTTGATTATTCCTCAAAACGAAATTGGATTTCCGTGAGGATGGTCGGGCTCTTCGGGACTTGAATGGGAAATCGGTAATGCCATTGTTGCAAGTTTCAGCTGAAATTTGAAAGGGCATATGATTTTTAAGGGGAGGATAAGTTCAGCTCTTCCTCTGAAGGGTAATCTTGTTTGGTGAACTTTTACGGAAGCTCTGAGAGATATGAAAATGTTGACCAAGGCCCAAAAAATTCTATTATGGCCGGGATCTGAGAGAATTTTCGAGAAATGTTTGATTTTTTGTGTTATATACCAACTGGATGGGATATTAGCCTAAGTAAAAAATGCTTTGTTTCGTTCCGAAGCCGTGTTTGTTACAAATTCGATGAAAAATAGGGCTTTTGTCTATTTACTCCTATGAGATGAGGTAGATTTGACGGGTTTCTTCAAATTTCACCTTATAATGGCCCATGAATAAGACGAAGACCATGAAAACAAAGTCCTCTCAATTATTCGCGTCTTATAACGAGTGGATGACAGCTGAATTCAGACGCTCCCAATTCCCCCCTTTCCAAGGGCAAAAAGTGTCTCGGAAACGGCGTTCAAATCGAATTTGTTAGCCTCCCGTTGGCCATCTTCCTTCGTCCTTTCGCTTGTCGCATCCTCGCACAACACGGTTTTTGTGCGATCCGGGAAAAGGTTCAGTCGGTTTTTTATTCCGAATTATGCCCCATGGAACTTGGGCAGGTCCTTTTGTTTGAAAGAATCCTCTTTGATGACAAATGGAACGGCGCATAATTGAGAAGATGGGAATATTCTAGGGGGCAGAAGAAGTGGGAGGTCCAGGAGTTTAGTTACAGTAATCTTAGGGGATGATTTTGTGGATTGGAGAGTAGTTTTTAACTTGACGCACCTTTTGTTGAAGGTATTTTTTTGTTATCCCAACTATGAATATTGAAATTTTGATTTGAACTCCTTGAAGTCGGCGTCGAGGGGCCTACTGTGAAGTTGATGACGGGTTTTGATTGAGGAATAGAAGAAGGTTGTCTTCAAAATAGAATAATCTTCCTCAGCAATTGATTTTTAGCTGAAAGTTCTCATTGTGCGTACTAAAATTGCTTTTTTTTGCACGACTTCATTCATGTTTGTCGGGTTTGACATAGAATATTTTGCTCTCGATACGTACTCGTCAAATCACCATTGGTAGCGATTAAACCTCGACAGTCGACTTTGGGCATTGATTTTTGAAGCGAAACTCGTTGTTCTAGGTAATCTTTGACGGTCTTGGGCATATTTTTGCATAACGAAAGTAGTCGAATCTCGCCCGTAGATGTGCTGTTGTTATTCTTTTCAACCAATTTGGTAATTTGATTGGCTTCACAATTGAAGTGCATGCTTCCGCTTGGTTTGCGCCGTGAACGCGGAACTTCGGACTTGTTGTTGAACATGTGTACTCCGCCGATCTAATTTGGATCACTCTGAAAATTGAGAACGAGAATAGATATGAAATCCATGTCTTGAGCAAGTTCGATCAACGGTTGATTCTACACGTGATGCTCTGCTGGTTTTAATAATTCGCTGTTCCGGTAAAATTCATAACCGTGCCAGCTAACGAGGAAGGTACTTCTATGGGGTATGGAGTTACAGGTCAAGTCATGTATCAAAAAAATCGTAAAATTTTTCTGATTCAGGATATGTAAAACTGAGCTGCCTAATTTTACGTGGTGTTGCGTGAAAACTTATGAGGATTTTTTCACCTTTCCAAACCAAAATTAGGCAGCTAACTTTTGCATATTCTGAATCAGAAAAATTTTGCGATTTTTTGATATATGACTCGACCTGTAACTCGATACCCCATAGAAGTACCTTCCTTGTAAGAATGACTGCCCATTTTTGAAGAGGTTGGATCGGTTTAGAGACGTCTTAGGCTAGGAAAAAAGTGTTAAACGTATCTAAGCGACCTTCTCTTTCGAAGTAAGAATTCTTTTCATGTTTTTGCAGTACTCTATGATATCCGAGTTCTCACATTGACGTTCATTTGGCCTTCGGTTGCCTGAAAACAGTCTCCCTAGAATTTGTTAATAATTCCAGCTAAAACATTTCCTTTTTACCAGTAAGCGTTGCGCTCGAATTTCCCATCAAATTTCGGAAGCTTTCTTGTCTTTTACGGAGTGTTATCCTTGCTAATTGCCAGAGGCGAAGAAAATGCTAGACTTGACACGCATAGGGCATAGGATGTAATATGGAGCCGGGATCCGCATTATAATATCCTTTTGTCGCATTCCCGTCAAAAACATTAGGGAACGGAAACGGGGAACAACAGCCTCGTCCCCTTCGTCCTCGTTTAAAATGGCCCAAAAACCCCCCGCGAAGAAGTTGGGCCCCGAAAAAAAGATGCGCGGATTCAAATTGTCATAACTTTTGGTTTTTTTTGAAAAATGTTTTTTCGAATAAAAAAATTCGGCAATTCCATATTCTTCGCTTTCTCGCTTTTTATTGATGCCAAGGGTCGAGGCGTTGTGATGTGATTGGGAGATTAGAGTTGAGATGTTCTTCTGGGAGGGAACATTAGAATTATGAGCCATTTTGACGAACTGATGGCAAAAAGAGATTGGAAATTGGAGTTTTGATGGGGATTGTGGGTACTGTAGTTTTTTGAAGAAATTTTTGGATACGAATTTTTTTGATGGGTTGTTTATAAATTTGAAATTTGCATGTCTTTTTGAGATTTGAATGTTCAAACTTTACCATTTGAACCTGGTATTTTTGACTGTTTTTTGGTAAATTTTAAAAAAACATATTTATTTTTTATGCCGTATTTTACAAATTTTTTTGGCCTTTCAATAAGCAGAATAATTTTCAGGAAAGAGTGGCAAAAACTCGGCGAGATCAGCCGCGAAGAGGCCATGTTGGAATTCGTCCGACTGCTGGACGTTGTTTGCCCAACCTTCAAGCCCTTCGTCAAGGAACAAGCAGCCCTAGAAGCACCGAAATTGAATGGGTAAGGCTTTAGAATAGAATTCTCGGAAATTTCTGGATGAAATTTCAATTTTTCGTGAGTTTTGATAAATTTTGAGATGTTTCTTGGGTTAAAAATTGTAGTTTAATGAAGGTTATTTTTGAATGCGTACGTGAGTTCCCGACTTGTTTTTCGAACCTCAAAGAAATTTTCTCTCATTTCAATACCCATTTATTTACGATAAGATCCGAAGCCCCGAGAAGTTCAATTTATTCCTAAATTTAGTCGCACCATTCCCAAGTACATTGTTTGGGATGTGAGAAAGCGGCCCCGAACCCCTGGGGATGTTTTTGAAGCATCACATTCCGCCGGAAATACGCTCCGTTTTGGGGGATTTTGCCTCTCAAATTTGCGTAAAAAAGTGTTTTTTTATACAGAAATCGAGTTCCTCATGTCATCTACATAGATTTGTGATGCGAAATGGGTTCCCATTAGTGGATTTGTAATTGAATTTGTTCCAAAATTGGATTTAATTGGGTATCATAGTAAAGAAAAGAGATTTTTTGAATATTAGAGTTGAAAAGAAGAGGGGAATTGAAAAGTTTTGGCCAAAAGAGGATACAAGAACATGGGAAACATAAAGATTAGAGAAATCCAGAGTTTTGGAACCCTCAATCGGGCCTAATTTATGGAGAGAAGAGCGGAGTTTTTTGGCCCTCTTAATTTGGTCCATTTTTCTCCACGGCCCCTCTTCACTTGGCCGCGTTTCTCTCAAGGCCATATAATTTTTTCCTTGAAATCCATGGGTCTTATGGTTTAGTTTTTTTGCGAGTTTGTGGATGTTTCCGAGTAAAAAGTCGAGGTGTGCGAGAGAAATTCAAGAAATTTTTTATTTTGCTTTGCTTTTTTTGAACGTTAGACCTGTTGAGAATGTTGTGTATAGAATTTTAATTGCAGGAAGACACCCTATCTAAACGGAAAGGCCGACTCCCAAGAAGTAATCGAAAAATATCAACAGCAAAAGTAGGTCGTTTAAAATTTGATTTTTTCTTGAGATTTAGGACGAAGAATATAAGGTATGATTGCAGAAAACAAATCCAAGAAGCCTTGAACAAACAGACGTATCATCAATTTCTTGCCTACGCTCAACAAAATTTCCCCGGAGAACCGCAGAAGGTAAGGGAAGATTGAGGTTTTTTTGAGGGAAAGAGATTTTATGGGTAAGATACGTCATATCCTTGGTCGTTTTTATCAAAGATGCGGTTTGAAGAGTTGAAAAGGGATTTTTGGGAATTTGATAGATGAAAATTGACGGAAATTTGAGAAATATTTATTAAATACCATGTATAACATAATTTTGGACTAAAAATGGCAACTACTCGTATGAAACACCGGGTAAATATCAAAATATGGATTTAAAATCTATATTAATAAGGATCAAGTTATAATCAACTCGATTTCTGGACATACGATTTGGGCCAATCTCTCCTCGATTTGAGTTTGAAACCCAAAAACTTGCAACGGCCGCTTCCTCGGGATTTGTCGAATGGCCTCATGAAGGATTTGTAATGTATAATTGGTGAAGTTTTTGTTCCGAGAGAGGTCGAGTTGCTCCAATCGTTCGATTAGTGAACCTTTGATTAGTCGGCGAATTCCATGCTCGGTCAGTTTTTTACATCCACCGAGAAATAACGAGCGAAGAGTGTGAATAGGCTCGAGAACGTCGAAGATTAGGTCCGTTACTCCATCGGAATCGGTCAGATCGAGCTGAAAACGAAAATATTGCTCTGATAGTCTAATACAATGTTATAATATAAGAGGCTTGTTTAATGTTGGATGTGTATACATTATTTTAACAAAGGTTTTATTACTTACCTCCTCTAAATTGCAATTAGTTGCTAATCCAACAACAGCGTCGTCTTCAATGTTATAGCAACGCCTGAGGGCGACAGCTTTGAGTTTCCCATGAACTGCCACGTCAAGAACATCTTGATCGCAGATTTGAGGGGTTCGTTCGACTTGTAAGGTCTCAAGATCCTTTAGAATATAGAGTCCTCGGTAGTCGTCAACTTTTTGACAGTGCACCACAGTGAGTTGTTGAAGTTTCGTTGCTCCTTGAAGAATCTCAGTTATTGTTTCTCCGGTCAGGCTCATTACTTGCTGAAAGTTTGTGTTTCATTCTGTTTTGAGGAAGATTTGTTATGCAAAGAGTTTCCTAGTCTCCAAAGGGATGTCTAAAAGAGATCGAAGAGATCTCGAATGGTCCGTTCGCAAAGTAACTGGGGTGATTTTGGCGACACGCGCTGTCCAAGAGTAGTCAGGGCGAGTAACAGCCTTAGAAAGCCATTTGCACAGTGAAAAGTGAACTTTTGTTTTTCACATTGCATGTCTCCCGGCTTTCCGGAGGCCTAGTAAGGGCGTTCTTCAAAAATCAACGGTCTTTTGTACTTTTTGCGGTTCATTTCGGTGTTACTTTGATCTCTTTTTCGACTTTTTTGTCTTCTGGAAAGAGTATGGCTTTGTTATGTCAGCAACATTGCGTAAAATGTGGTAATTAGGTTGGCCACTGCCTTGTACGTATTTGTTTTTGCAAACATAATGTCGTTTAGAGGTTTGCGACCCGTTTAGTTTACTAAAAAGTACTCAGAACATGACAAACATGACGTCCGAAATTTGTTGTTGTTTTCACACCCGGGTTTCGACCCAAATTACTCGCACAGGTTGTATTGTAATGTGGTAGGCCACCTCAACACATGCAATTACACGTCTGGTTGTCATAACAACCCCCAAAAAAGTCAGGTGGCCGCGGGTAATACAGCGCTCACAACTTACCCTGAACTCGAGTATCTTTAAATTTGTCAGCCGTCCCAACGGAGCCAACGAAAGGGTCCGCGGCTCGTACGAAATTTGCCCGAGGCTCAGTTCCTGCAGTGTGGTTATGCCTGAAATGGAATGCGGGCCTCGTTTTGTTTTTTACACGTGTTTTGCCTTGATTAGATTTACACTTACCCGAGAGACATTCGATTACTGCCTCGATTCCGTCTGACGGATCCTCGTCCGAATATTTCGGGAATTGCCCGCCTGGAAACGGACATAACGCTAGGCTAATAAGCTCTCTTTGATTGATCAGGAAGGAAACTAGAATCTCGGCAGTTAATTGCCAATTGGAACTGAGGTCGGTCTTTCTGAAATGAGGATTGCGGTTGGCATCAGTTTTTCGGATAATTTAGTAACGTGGAATGTTAAATACTACAGGGAAGGACCCGATCCAGTGGCAAAAAACGTACCATTTTGCATCCGGGAAGCATCAAAAATGTAGCAAAATGCTTCCCTCTCCAAGTTAAAAAACTTTGTTTTGAAGGGTTCGCTCACAAAAAGAGCGGGCGCGCTTTTAAAATCGGAGTGTTTCACTTGGAGAGGGAAGCATTTTGCCACATTTTTGATAATTCCCGGATGCAAAATGATGCTTTCTTTGCCACTGGATCAGGTCCCCCACTGTACAAAGGCCCGTAGGTCAAAGACCCCTAACGAAATTTTTATTACTTTTAATTTAATTTTCGACCTCTTACCTGAGCTGCCCCGGAAAGTCCAAAATATCCACCATATCGATACCGCAGTTTCGAAGGTAAACTTCCTCTAGTTTTTCCATCATCCTGAAGCTCTTTCCGGCCTAAACTAGTAAAAAAATTCAAAGTAATTACTTACTTTTTTGGCATTATCCGTATTAGACCAAGAGGTGTCTTCTAATGAGAGGACTCGGAGCTGAGGTCCTACTCTTTGTAGAACTGGCGTTAAATCTGAGCTTAGAATTGAGGCACTGAGATCAAGAACCGTCAGGCGTTCGCAATGACTGAATTGTTTTTATTTGTATAGCTTATTGATTAGATGACATGTTATTGTGATTGATGGACTTACTCGGCAACGCTTTGAAGAACTGTAGGTGTGATTCTAAGCCATCGAGATCCAAAAGAGAGCTGCTTCAGAAAAGGCCCGCACCGTTTCAAGATGCTGAGAGTTGTGGGCTCGAATGAGAGACTGTCTTGTTGGAAATAGCCGTGATTGTTGTTGTACAGGTAGTCTCCGATATTGAATGATGATTCTCCCACGTAGACTCGGCGATTCTGGAAGGATTTACTTGGTTTGGATTTTTTGGAATAACGGATCTGGCGTAGTCGATAAAAATGTTGAAACGAAGATCGGAAAAACGCTGTTTTGCTCTTTAACTTACATGCATCACATCTTTCCACCTTCTGCAAACTCTCTCCAGCCTGACCCTCTCCTTGAAAGAGAACAAGGAGAAGATCAAACTCAGCGAATCCGAATCCAAGGAATCCATGATAGCATCCCTCGGGACCCGGTTGTCTCATGTGATGACCTCGTCTCACTGACTGATCTGTGACTTGCGGATGGCCGGAAATCCGGCTCGGATGAACGCGCCCCTCTTTTTATCAACTGACTAACCTTAGAGTTTGTCAAAAAGTTTTAAACAGATCTCCGTTCGGCCGCTGATCGGGGTGAGTTCCCCTCTCTTTTCGTAACCGCCGAGCTCAAGAGAATTAAAAAGATTGAACACGGAGATCCAGCATGTCCCCTCGGACTCTCTTCCTCGTTTCTTTTGTTTGGATGCATTCGATTAGACGCTGTCTGACGTGATTCGGCCGAACAAGTCTTATGATCGGGACCTCTGCTCATTCCTGCGGTTTCATGTTATGTCGTTTTGATTTGTAATAAAAGACGAGCAGATTGCCGGAGATGAAGACGAATACGAGCACGTTGAGTCATAAGGATACAAAAAATGAGGAAGGATACGAAAAGAAAATTGGTTGAAAATAATGAGTGCAAAGCAATTTTGGAAATTTTGAGTTTGATAGAGTGGACTTGTGGATTTTTTCACAAAACGATCGTAAAAGAAGATTGATGGACCTCAAGTACGATGTCAAAATTTTTTATGGAGACACAAGGAGTTTTGGGTTTTAAGATAAGGCTTCTTGGAGATCTGCTGTGATTTTTGAGACCCGAAAAAGACCTCAGGGCATCCCAGGTCACTTCTCTTTTCAAAAGTTTTCCTTTTGGTGTTTGTTGCACTTCTTGACATCAAAGATGGGATCTACTTGGCTTCTTGTAATTTTTTGGTGCTTTTGACACGTAAAATGGATTAGTTATCGAAAATGCATGTGATCGTTGAAGTTATTATCCATATGGCAAAGTTAAAGGCATAAAGTCAGACATAAAATAGTAGATGAACTGGGTCTTTGAAAGTTCTTAAGAGAGGATCGGCTTGTCGACTCTACCATAAGGCCTATCTTCCTGTGTTGGAGGAGTGACGATTGCAAGCTTTGCGTGGTAATTAATGGGGGTATTTGTATGAAAAATATATTAAAATTTGAAATTTTTATGTTAATTTATCCATTTTCAGCAACAGCAGCTGATAAAACAGCTTCAAGAACAGCATTACGAACAATATATGGCCCAAGTCTACGCTCAACAGACCCAATCCCAAGCCGAGATGTTGGAAGCAACCAATGGCCGCAACTCGGACAACTCTGACTCGGAATCGGGCCCGAAACCAGCCGAATCCTATCTTCAGGAAGGCCTGGAACGCCCCAAAGAAAAGGTCGAAGACGAAGAAGGAGACGATTCGGAGGTCTCGGAAACCGAAATTCATCATGAATTGGAACAGTGTAAGTGGAAATGGATTCGTTTTTGAGAGGATTCGATCATTAGCAGAATTTTTAGCGATTTTTTTCACAGAAAAACAATATTTTTTGATGATTTTTGACATTTTCTGCGGTTTTCACGGTTTTTGCACCTTGAACTTTTTCTTTTTTCAATTTGATTTTGACTATTCTTTCGATTTCTACTACTTTTCGACACTTTCACGCACATTTATTTTCTATTTCTATCTTTTAGTGCCCTCCATCCACGGCCAAATGGGCCTTTTCTGCCACTGTAAGCAAAACTTGTGTGTAGTGATTATGTTGTAATGTAATGTGGAGTGTGCGGAGATTTTTGTAGCGGTTGAGAGAGGGTTGACGGTGTTTTAGGGGGATGATAAATTCGGTTTCAATTTTTGGCATGTATAACATATTTTTTTTTTTTTTTTTTTTTTTTGAAAATGATTTTTGAAGTTTTGAGAGCGGTAAAAAGGTCGATGGAGTGTTGTGATGTTGTGCCGTGGCTTTCTAGATGGTTTACTAACTTTTTCACAACACCTTTTTTCCATTTCGACGTTCTATACGGTGTTTTCAACTCTTAAATTAAGGGAAATTGTACTGGCTGTTAATGTAAAATATGGTGTAGAATGTCCGGCTTTTCTTGGAACAATTTCTGATCATAATTTTTTTGTAGCCAACCCCCAAATTGCGCCGGCTTCGCTTTGGAATAGCAAAGGCATCGAGGAATTCAAGAACAATATCAAAAAAGAAGGCCCCGAAGGCATAATCAAGGTGGGGCACGGCGAAACGGTCACAGTCCGAGTGCCCACGCACGCGGAAGGCACTCATTTGTACTGGGAATTCGCCACCGACTACTATGACATCGGGTTCGGAGTGTATTTCGAGTGGACGGTGGCGGAGTCGAATCAAGTCACGGTCCATGTGTCCGAATCCGACGACGAAGAGGACTACGATGAAGAGGCCGAGGCTGTAGCGGTCGCTGCTTCGTCGCCGAACGATGTGGAAAGCGGCGCACCGGCGGGAACAACTCCCAAGCCAAGGGATCCAAATAAGCCCAGAATCGATGAAGTTATCCCGGTTTACAGACGGGAAAGCCATGAAGAGGTAGGTTCAGGGCATCAGGAAGACTTGTAGCGGTATTAGGGTGAACCAAAATATTTTTCCGATTTTTTTTTTTATTTTTTTTTTTGTTTTTTTTTAGCGAAAGAAGGATTTTTATATGAATGTATTATGTATATTTTGAAGGTCTTGAACTGCTTTGTCGTAATATATATTTAAACTAGAGATGGTTTATAATGAGAATTCAGCAATATTTATATCATTTTATCTCCAGGTCTACGCCGGCAGCCACAAATACCCCGGAACTGGCGTCTACCTCCTGAAATTCGATAATTCCTACTCCCTCTGGCGCTCAAAGACCCTCTACTACCGAGTATTCTACAGCAAGTAAACGAAGCCAACCGTGATTCAGACCATTTTCTTTTCGTGCAATCGTCCCCCTTATATCAGATTATGTAATAATATATAGTCACAAATTAATTTATTCACCATTATTTTGTCGGTTTCATAACAAGTAAATATTTACGATAGAGGATTTGAGATTTTGACGAATTTGGTTTTTTCGGATATTTGGAATTTTTTTTTGGATGTCGGTTTTTACTGTGATGTGTTTGATGGAAATGTCATTGACTGAATGTTTTAACAGTGTGGATTAAATGCAGGGTTGTTATGCAATTGCTTGTAGAAACGATAAAAAATAATTTTACCCTACGAAATATCAGGGAAATTCTCGACGTTGGAGTACAGCAACTTCTTTGAAGTTGGCATGTATGCGCTAGCGAGACTACATTTCAGTTAGTTGTTGAAAATTTTAGTCTTCTATTCAAAGCGCAGCTGAGATATTCAACACTCTTTGGAAACGAGAGAGTACGAAAAATGAGGAGAGGCGGTCAGAGAAAAAAAGTCATTTTGGATGTCATATTTCCTAAACCGACGTGATTGCTATTGGTAAAAGTAAAATCCTGCGTTCAGTTGCTTCTCAAAATTACCAAAAATTATATTCTCAGTGTGATGGATAGTAAAATTTTGATCTTTCTTGATGTTTTTCCTCTAAAAATCCAAAAAATTTGTTTCTAATCTGCCCAACCGACCGCAAGGATCATTGGCCCAGATTCCAAACGGGTTTTGCAAAAAAATTGCAAGAGTCTGAAACAAAAATATTACGTTGGAAACGTAACCATTCCTTTTTTGTCACCGGATGTTTGGCCCAATAACGTAAACCACTGGAATAAAAGGCGGCGGAAAAAGTTTCCGAATACCCGACGGAGTTTGTAAGTTCAAAGTAAGTCGCCGTTTTTGCGAGCAATCTCCAGATTCGGCCCAAAAATATTCGAATTGCGGGTGACGTTCGATGGACAATCGGAGGAAGCGCATTTTGTGGAAATGCGCGTTAACGAATACGATTCAAGAAGTGCTCAACGCAAGGCCTGGTTGGGCGCCAACTAGGTGAGAGGGGGGTTTGGAGAAGTTTTTTTTTATTTTATTTTAGTCATTATCCCCTGATTTTAGTGGAGAGGACTGGCAATTCTACTGGGTGAATCGAGAATGGATGGTGCAGACATTCGACCGCCACAAGTTCAAAGAAGGCCAAAAAATTTGTCATTTCCGCAACGACTTTGAGCTGACCAGGAAAGATTCTTTGATAAAAAATCACAAGAAAACGAAGAAATTGGCCAAAAACGGCGAGAAAATGGACTACCTACCGGCTAGCTATGTCTTACCGGTAAGTTTAGGGGGTTGTTGCGGAATGCCAAAAATTCAAATTTTCGTTGTGGAGCCCGAAATTTTGGTGATTTTGGAGGAATTTGAGCTTATTAGACTGAAACACAATAGTCAAATTTATTTATAAGTGTAATAGCTTACTGTGATAAGTGATTTTTATTTGGAGGTTTTTTTAAAAACATACAAAATTTATAGATTTTCCCATAAGTCTTTCGCCGTCCATAACTTGACTGTCTTATTTTAGCTGGAATATCATATATTCGTAGAGGAGTTCAAGAAGTACCCACCAGATACAATTTGGATCATGAAACCGGTTTCCGGAGCTCAAGGAAGAGGGATCTTCCTTTTCAAGAAGCTCAAAGAAATCCAAGAGTGGAAAAAGGTACAGTTACCTAGGCTACCGTAATCCCATAAATTTATTTTTGTTTTGAAAACATCCTGCAAGTCTTTGGCTTGAATTTTATGCTTGAAATCCCCTGAATTCTTGAGTTAGAACATCAGTTTTTGCCGATATTATATTCATGACCATCGGCTTTCAGAAGGGCAGCAAAAGTGATGCCGATACTCAGCCATATGTCGTTCAAAGTTACATCCATCGACCGTATTTGATTGGCGGGAAGAAATTTGATGTTAGATTGTATGTTTTGACCACATCTTTTCGACCGTTGAACGCCTGGGTTCATCGAGAAGGATTTTCGAGGTTTTCGCATTCAAGATACAGTCTGGAAAGCGTGGAGGATGCTTGTAAGTGACAAGTTTGATATTGAAGATTAAGAATATAGAGTTTACAGTAGTTTGAAAGGAAAAGGATAAAAAATAATCATTAAAATGGACGCTTTTGATCGATTTTTAGAGGAAAATCAGCATTTTTTACATTAAAAATAGTATTTCAAATTTTTAAAATACGTCGACGGTACTGTGGTACATTTTTAGCACAAAAACATAACCTTTTATCCAAAAATTGAGATGAAATTATATTACTTTAGATGTTCATCTCACCAATGTTGCAATTTCCAAATCCGCCTCGGATTATGATCCAGAAAAGGGCCTAAAATGGTCTCTAGACAAGTTATTTCGATACATGGAGGCTCGGCATGGCATGGAAGTGGTCGATAAATTGATCGAAAATATTGGGAATATCATCGTGATGAGTTTAAAGTCAGTTCAAGGGATTATAATTCAGGTGAGAGGGGTAAACTGCGGAGGTAAATGGTTTTTTGGGCTCGAAATTGTATACGGTTGGTGAATTTTTTCAGGATTCGCATTGCTTTGAACTCTATGGATACGATATTTTGATTGATGAGGACCTAAAGCCATGGCTGTTGGAAGTTAACGCATCCCCGTCGCTCACCCCAAGCAGTCAGGAAGATTTTGAACTCAAATTTAGAGTCTTGAATCATCTGTTAGACGTGCTGGATATGGAAAAAGTGTAAGGATTTTCTCGTTGCGGCAGAACTCTACCCCTTTTCTGAACTCTCCCCCTTTTTGAACTTTCCCCCTTCAGAACTCTCCCCCTCATTTTGAATATTGAAAAAATGAGGTGTGACATCTTATACGATGCTAATTTTTTTCAAATTGAAAAAAAGAAGATGTGACATCTTATACGATGAAAAATTTTTTCAAATTGAGAAAATGAGGTGTGACATCTTATACGATGAAAAATTTTTTCAAATTGAAAAGAATAAGGTGTGACATCTTATACGATGAAAAGTGTTCAAAAGGGGGGAGAGTTCAGATTTTTTGGCAAAAATCAAAAAATCCCTTTTTTGGGGTAGAGTTGAAAAAGGGGTAGAGTTCAGATTGGGGGAAAGTTCAGAAAAGGGGGAGAGTTCAGGCTCAACCGGATTTTCTTAATGACCATGGGTTCATTAAAATATTGTTGGTTGTAAAATACGTTTTTTTTATATTTTTTAGTCGAACCGAAGCGGAGCCCTCAATTGGCGGATTCGACTGCCTAATTCGAAACAACGAGCTGGTCTATCGCCCCAAATCCGAAGCCTTGGAGAAGATTTGTCCTCAATTCGTCACCCCGTCCCTCAACATTCGCTTAGGTGGGGAAAAATAAGGTTTATTATTTCTGTTTTTGTACAGGGTCTTTCAAGAAACATGAAGGAAAGTAGGAGGCTATAACCTACGGCAGAGGCGGCGCAGAAAGTTCGTTTTTGGAATATGTATTTTTAAGCGACTTTATTTTTTGCCTACAAGATAACAAGATTTTTAAGCCCAAACTGAGGTGGCTACAACCTTTTGAAAAAGGGCTCTTTTACCCCGAAAACCAGGGCAAAAAATGTCGCTTAAAAATACATATTCCAAAAATGAACTCTCTCCGCCGCCTCCGCTGAAAGTTATAGCCTCCGACTTTCCTTCACGTTTCTTGAAAGACCCTGTATATTTTAGGCAGTTATGTGGCTCCAATGTCGGTTCCCCCTATGTGATGAAGTTACTGCCAAAATTATCGAAATAATCAACTGTGGAAATGCACTTGTAAACAGATGTGGAAATCAAGAATTGAGATCATTCTAATTTTTTCTCTGTGATTTTTTTTATTTTCGGTTTGATAAAAGTTAACCCAATCAATTTGGCGTGGACGAAACGTGAAAAAAGAGGGCTTTTATTTTTTCCTTTTTTGTCAAAAGCTTTCAATTTTTTATGTAGTCATTGTTTTGGAAGGGTAAATTTATTATTTACTTTGCAGATTTTTGGGGATTTTATAGAAAAAATAAAAAAAATTATTTTCAGACCGGGTCGATTAGAATAAATCTCATCATATCAAGTTACCATGACAATCCCAGAATTCATAATTATTGGAGGAGTTGCAGGGTGTGGGAAATCGACGGTTGGTCGATTATTGGCCGACAAATTGGGCTACACTTTTGTTGATGGCGATGATTATCATTCGCAGGAAAATAAAGCCAAAATGGGTCAGGGAATCGGGCTGAATGGTGAGTTTTTTTGAATCATAGGAATCTCAAAAAAGTCATAATTTTCGGCAAATTTTGAAATGCAAAAAATCCTAATGCTTTCTGATAATCGCAAGCGAGTAATCTCGTGTTGCTTTGACTGGATTATATCCGTGATTTGTGCCATGTTTCATCAAAATCTGAAACTTTTTGGCACTTTCCTACGAAAATTTTTTGCCTTGGCCCCCCTTATCATTTTTTGAAAACATCGGAATTTCAGTTGTAAACTCATTTTATTTTTTTCGCAGAACGATTTCAGCTAATTATCAGCGTTTTTTCAAGTTTTTTTACCTGCTATAAAAAAATTTATTTCAAAAAAGTTCTATTTTTTCCAAATTTCATTTTTTCAAATTTCCAATTTCAGATGAAGATCGAGCCCCTTGGCTTCAGAAGCTCTCCGAAATTGCTTCAACTTCTCCTCGCACAGTCCTTGGATGTTCATGTTTAAAGAAAAAATATCGTGATCTTTTCACCGCATCTAACCCAGATCTCGCTATAGTAATATTGGAGGTTACAACAGAGCATTTGGTCTCCAGAATGGCCAAAAGAACGGGTCATTATGCCAAACCGAATCTATTGGAGAGTCAGTTTCGGGATTTTGAGACGCCCAAAGACGAGAGAAATGTGTTTATTGTGGATGGAATGGAGACGCCAGAGAAAATTGTGGGAAAAATTGTAAAAGTAGTTAGTAAATAAAGTTTGTATGTAATGTAGCAAGTAGTAATGGTCTATATAAATGCTGTGATTGTCATAAGAACTAACCATTTTTTTCGTTTCGAAAAATACGTCATGATGACCGATTTTTCAAGCCTTTAAAATGACAGATCCCGTCTGTTATACAGACCTTGTGTTTTAGTAAAAATTTTATGTTTTAATTGCAACAAAACGTCTCTATATTTCCCCCTAGATCAACACTACGAGGTCCGTAGCCTTCGAATGCTCGTTGAGTTTTGTTGCGGAAAACAATCGCTTTCTCAGCGAAAAACAAATCTAAACCACATGCCTGCAACTAAACAGTGATTTACCCTGCTTTAAACATATATTAAATCTCTACTTTTACTACAAAACTAATATTTTTACAATGTCTTCAATCCGATTTGACGGGCAAGTAGCCGTGGTTACGGGGGCTGGCAACGGCCTTGGCCGAACTTATGCCCTAGAATTGGCAAAAAGAGGGGCCAAAGTTGTGGTTAATGATCTGGGAGGCGACGCTCATGGATCTGGCGGGTCGAGAGCGGCGGATAAAGTGGTGGATGAGATCAGAAAAGAGGGAGGAATAGCTGTTGCCAACAATGATAGTGTTGAACATGGAGAGAGGATTGTAAAAACAGCGATTGACAATTTCGGGAGAATCGGTGAGATGTGTTTTTTTGCTGTGTAGAAGGGTGTAATTTGAGATGTAAATTGTGCCGCTAATATCGATTTGAAACTTTCAGATATCTTGATCAATAATGCCGGAATTCTCCGTGATATCTCGTTTGGAAACATGAAAGAGATCGACTGGAGTAAGTTGCAAAACATGAACAACAAAATCAGTCTTCTAGAGAGGCAATTGTTTAGCTTCTAAAATACGAGGAGGAGTACGATTCCGCGCAATTTTGCTTTTCATTAAAGAAATAGGTTTTTTGACCTAAACGACTTCTTCAATCGTCTTTTCATTAAACCTGTATATAAAAAACATTTTCAAAGGCCCTAACAGACCATTCTAGGCTAAAATGGAAGTCCGTAAAACAAAACTCTTTTATAGAGGAATCTCTTGAAATTCTTTTTCAAGGCCTTATATACAAGGAATTTCCTTTACATCAAATCAAAGACTGAAGAATACATAATTACTTCTGTAGTCATTAATTTCAGACCTCATAATGAAAGTCCACTTGAATGGCGCTTACTCTTGCACTAAAGCTGCTTGGCCGCACATGAGGAAACAGAAATATGGGCGAATTCTTTTCACCAGCTCCAACTCCGGAATCTATGGGAGTTTTGGTCAAGTCAATTATGCTGCCGGTAACTTTTTTTACAGCTGTCAACGCATCATCAATCTACTAATATTATACGTCATTTTTCAGCCAAACTCGGCCTTATCGGAATGTCCAACGCTTTGGCATTGGAAGGAAAGAAATATGGGATTGGAGTCAACGTTTTGAGCCCTACTGCTGGAAGTCGGCTGACGTTGACTGTAATGTCTCAAGAAGCTGTGCACGCCCTAAAACCGGAATATGTCACTCCAATGGTTGTCTACATCGTGTCGAAGCAGAATGAGACAACTGGGCAGATCTATACAGCCGGTGCTCAATGGTACGGGCAGTTCAAATACTACCGAACCAAGGGGAAATTCTTCAAGAACCCGACCGCTGAGGATGGTAAGAGATGATCTGTAGCTCCGTAATACGTTGAAATTTCAGTTCGAGACTCGTGGAGTGAAATCACTAACCAAGAAGGACGCCGGGCATTCAAAACAACCAAGGAAATCCAAGATTATCTGTTGGCTGGCTTGGCCAAAATATAAAAATGTGAAAAATATAGTATTGATTGGGAGATTTTTATCAATAAATATTAATTTTTATAGTGCCTGGCCAACATATAGAACTTATTCATTAATTTTTGGCTTGGGCGTTCATCTGGTACAATGGTAAATCATAGTTCTTGTATATTCACATTTCTCTGTCAAACTCAAAAACTGAAGCAGCCCAACTGCCGCAGAAAAATGATTTACAGACTAGATTTCCTACGTCATAAAGTGATATCAAGACCTCAAAAATATGCTATTGCTAACGCAATGTAATCACAGAAAATTTTGAGCATTTGTCGTTCATTCATTTATCTTTGCTTTATGTAGAAAAAGCAGTCTGTATCATCAAGGATATGAGAAAAAAATCGAATATTTTTTACTCTTCGCGCTTTGCATGTTTTTATTTTATCGATATTATGTATTATTGTGATTTGTAACAAATTTAAAAGTGGCACAACGAATTTAACGTAATTCTATATATGATACAGTGTATGATTTCGTACATGGACAAGCCCGCCGTAATTTTTTAAATCTCCAAATGACGTTTACTTGTTTTCAAATATTAAATATATAATTATATACTCTATATAATTCGCTAGTTGAACGTGATGTATATATATATACATCACTATATAAGTCTGGTGTATTACATCTGTAAAAATTTTTTTGGAAATTCTCTCGGATTTCGCCGCCATTTTTGTCAGTTTTCAGATTCTTCATTTTGCCGTCAATTTTCAGCCGGCGAGATCCGAAATCTGCCAGAACGCCGTTTTTTCGGTGCAAAAAAAAAAGTCGCCGTCACTTTTTTTTTTAAGCCGGCAGGTTTTGGAGTTCGCCGAAGCCCACTTTTTTTTGCTGGCAAGAATCGAGTTGTGCCGGCACTTTTAGCTGACTCCGCCCCCACTTTCGGAGGGCCAATCAATGAGCTTTTTGGTTTTTGCTCGCGAAGAGCGGATTTTCTCGCGAAAAACGGGGTTTCTTCGCGCATTTTTTCGCGAATTTCTTCGCGAAAAAAGGGGTTTTTGTCAGAATTTGACGGCGAAACGTTTGAATTGTGTTTTAGATCGCATGAAACGATCTAACACTTCGCAAAACTGAGACAAAAATACGTTTTTTGGGCATCTAAATGGCCATTTCAGGTTAGAACTCGCTGAAAAGTTTCACCAATTGTTGAAAAAAAATTATTTTAGTATACTTTGGCAAAAATTTTGCCGTTTTCATCAAACTCTGGCTATAAACGTCAAAAAAGGACAAAAAAAAAGAAAAATTATTGTCGGTCGCGGGTGTCGCGAAAAGCCAAAAGACGGAGTGTCAAATTGATTTGATGTGGATCCGATTTTTTCGCACAACATGGATTTCGCAAGTACAACGTCCGAATGAATCATAACAAAATGCTTTATTTTTCCTATGCCATCGAATAAAAAATTTACAAACAAGTCAACTTTCCTCGTTTTTGATTTTCCCACATAAAAATAGATACGTAATTATCCTATACAAAATAAATAACACAAGTAAACGCTAACGGTAATTTTCCTACCTAAATGAAAATAACGAAGTTTTTATGCTGTACTGGAGGATGTGGATGCGGTGTCCACGCTAAAGGCGTCTTCCGAGCGGTTGAAGAGATTCCGGCGGGCACGGAGTTTAGTCCACCGGGTATTCTTCGACTTCCTGGCGGAGTCCATTCCATCGTGGCAAACCAGGACGTTGTTTGGGCTATCCGGTATGATTTTGTTGTTTAGCGACAGGCCTAAAAGCGAAATAGAAAAGAAATGAACCGCTTACCGTTGTCGAAACCAATAAAGTAAACTCCTTCGCGTCCATTCAGAATCAGCGGGACCTTCTCAACTTCGATGCGACGACTTGTTTGTTGATATTTTTTCTGAGTTTTGCTATACTGCAAGCGACGATCATAGCCTCTATCATCCAGTTCGAAAGAAGTTGTCTTCCCACTCCGCCAACTTGTGGTAATGTTGAAAATTTTGTTTGAGGCCGCTCCAACCATCCGCCAACGCGTTTATCCAGTGAGAAGAGGGCACCCGGAGGATAAAAAATTCCAGACTGCACTTTGCGAATCGGTCGATGATTTATACATTCTGAAATCAACAGCAAACATGAAATAAAACATATTTCCTAAAGAGTCTCTTCGTCCAAAGATCTTACCAAGCAGGAAATTCCGGTTGGTTTGCAATGGATCTTCACGCTTCGTTTCCTTCTTCATCCGACGTTTCATTTTTCCATCATTGCGGCATTTCTTCAAGAGTTGGATGAGTTGTTCATCCTCAGGCTCGGAGTTATCCGGTTATCCATAAGCAGGTGGGATTAATCCACGTCAAATAATAAAACCACCGCGCAACGAAAAAGGTGAACGTGAAATTTCGCATTTTTTTACAAAATAAAAAACAAAAATAGGCTTCCGCACGTCAATCCTTTTTATCGATATTGACATTTCGTTGTTGCGAAATGTCAATCGAAAGTTCTTTTTCTTCTAGATTGTTCCGTGTTCTTTTATCTCAACTTTTCGTTGCAGTTTCGGCACGGTCGGTGAATCTTCTGGAGGTGGACGTCCACAGAAAATGGTTGTTTTCCCGGTTGACCGGCCTGGATATTCTGATCAAATATTGTCGTGAGGATAGGATGCCCAGAAGTTTCGGATCTACAGCGGTAAGTGGACTGCGTCCTTTTCAGTGTTGTTTTAGATGTTCATTCTTCCGGATTTCATGGCCAAATTCCGCTGGTTCAAAAATTGTTTGGTGATGGAGATGTGAAAAACTTCGACGTAAGCTTGGCCATCATAGAACCGCACAAAATGGTTTGTAATGTTGTACAAGCATTATTTCAGACTAATATAGTGATGATGCTCTGCTCCAAGCTTGAGTGGGTTCCGGACCAGCCGCCCAGCTCATGAAGCCTCCGCCAGTTCTCGCACAGGCGAGAAATACTGGGCAGTCGATGGGACTCCTGATCCGCCGAAACTATAAATCCTTCAACAGCGCGGGTTGAGGTTAACCGGATAACCCTAGCATAAACCTGTTATTCCTGCTTATATTTTGAGCCATAAACAAATGAAAAATAATTTTTACTGTTGATTATGCATAAGTTTTGCGGTCGCATCACACTAGCTGATACCTTTACGTTACTTAAAATTGGATTCATTTCGGTGATGGACGGAAAGAGCGGATGAGAGCCGCTGTCTGGGACATCCTGCAAACGAGTCCCGTCTTACGTGGGGGATGAGGCTTAAAAACGGAGGGAATTACTGGAAAACCGATAACTGGTCAACGAGTTTGCATTTTTTGGTTTACCGACTAATGCCAAACTCCGAAATGTTGCAATTTTTCTGTGGAGTGAGTTCGGCGACATGCATTGTCCAAAAAAGCCAATTGCACGGTGCAAAAAGCAAGAAACTGCGCAAAAAAAAGTTTTTTGTTTTCGCACAATACATGTCGCGAAAACCACTCCAGCGAGTTCGCGAACGGACCAGTATACGTTCATTTCGTCGATAATTTTTTCATACATCAAAATTTCCTGTGTTTATGCGATTCCTGATTATCTAGAACACAATTCAAGCGTTACGCCGTCAAATTCTGACAAAAATCCCTTTTTTCCCGAAGAAATCCCGTTCTTCGCGAAGAAATTCGCGAAAAAAATGCGCGAAGAAACCCCGTTTTTCGCGAGAAAATCCCGCTCTTCGCGAGCAAAAACCAAAAAGCTCATTGATTGGCCCGCCGAAAGTGGGGGCGGAGCCAGCTAAAAGTGCCGGCACAACTCGATTCCTGCCAGCAAAAAAAAGTGGGCTTCGGCGAACTCCAAAACCTGCCTGCTTAAAAAAAAAATAAGACGGCGAGTTTTTCATTTTTGCCGTCGGTAAATTTTGGTGCCGGCGAAGGTGACGGCAGGTTTATCAAATCTGCCGTCGCTTTTTATGGCGGCGAAATCCGAGAGAATTTCCAAAAAAATTTTTACAGATTTAATACACCAGACTTATATATATATACATCGTATTCATATATATATATATATTCTAAAATGACTAATTTTCTTAACCTTACTATTACTTACATAATACTCTTTATTGCTTTGCAAATTTTACTAAAAGTTTTACTAGTGAAAAGATTTATCAGCATTTTTATGTTAATTTGTTCGTAAAAACTCAAAGGACTCAAAGTTTCCGCATCCAGCTGAAAGAAGTTGTAAGGTATGTTTCTACAATACATGTAACCTTTTATAGAGCTGGGACTAGTTGCCGCACAATGCAGTAGACAAATTATTGTGTGAACAGAGTGCCGAGCCGTATAAAGAATGGGTCGTTTTAATTTCTAACTCCTATGACGTAAGAAAGAAGCAAATGGCTTTGTTTGTGTATGTACGTATTGAAACGTAAGCGCAGTTTCTCTACGAGCCCGGCATTTCTAGCGATCTTTTAGCGGAATTTTTAAATAAGAAGGTCGTAATGATACACAGGTAAGTTTTATTTCTGTACTAACCTCAAAATGGTATCTTTAAGTCGTATACGACATGTCCTGTCCATACCTTAGAGTTAATAAGAAGATAATCTGTGCCTATGCGTAATAAACCATCATTCCATCCCAGTACTACATCGTGTTGCTACAATTTCAGACACCGAAAACGGATGATAACTATGTTTCTGGAGTACACTGACTTCACAACGTGAATACAGGGAGTTCATCAAGTTAATAACGTAAAATAATTAATTACCAGTTGAAAAAAATACAGATGATATTTCAGGAAATCCCGGCCTTCTCTGCGTTGTTGTTGAAACAATATAATTGTTTCAAACCAGCGCTCGTAAAATTACATTTTTAAGGTTTTTTGATTTGCCCGACCTTTAAAACTGCCCTCAACGGCCTTCCAGCTCGCCAGCAAAGAAATACCGACGGAAGAAATTTCCCCGTAATGTTTGAAGCAATGGCCAACAGCGCCTGTCGTAAGGCTACCGAGCGCCTTTCGTGAGTTCGACTTTTTTGTTCCATTCGTAAAGGAAACTTCAGAGGCCGGCAGAAGCCTTATTAGTCTCCCACTTTGGAAGGATAGAGATTCTAAGGGTGACTATAAACGGACCAGATATATACTGTCTCGTAAGAGAAAAAAGTCCCTCTCCTCTACGCATACCCATAGGGAGCACCGTAACATTCCGCGGCGGATCGGATGACATAAATTCCCCAAATTGAAGACCTTCCCACCATCAGGGCAACAGCGATCAGCGTCACCATCCTTTCCACCCCTAGGGTAAACATCACCCTAGGCACTGTTATTTCCTTTAGCCAAGCTTGCATCACGATGAGCACCAATACGTAATGGCTAGCAGCCAGTTCACCATTTGCACGCACGCCCCTTTTGCAGTAGGCCAACCACTAATCGTAATCCAGCGGTAAATTGCTTTGTTGTTTACCACGCTAGGGCCCAATAGACATTAATTCTTACAGGGCAAGCATTAATCCAACTACATATGTGACATCATGCGGTAAAAGATGTTATTCGTTTTTATTTCACCAAGTAAGTCTTCTTAAAGATACTAAAAAGAATCGCTCTCGTACTACATATTTTATATTGTATGCTGTAGGTTTTCGATTATTCTATATACATTCTAATCAAATTTACTTTCAGTGTACGAACCATAGAATGAGACCACCGACTCGGAAGACCGTCACAACTTGAAGAGATAAAAATAATAGTGCACTCATTGACCACTCCTCACAATTAGAATCTGGAAAAGACAATATTCTGATAATGATTATAAATTAAAATTTTAATTTCAGAGGAATAAATTTCTTAAAATTGTATCGCCTTTTGCTTTGGTTAGCAAAGTAGTGAAAAAATTAAAATGAACTAGTAAAAAGTCATACGTTATGCAGAACTTCGTTATATGAAGGTTTATTCTGTTTTAAATTTGTACCTTTAGACTATTGAAATTGCTCTTATGGAGAGCGCTCTAACGGGTTTGTTGTATGAATCTCTTTTCAACCAACTTTTCCGATTACTCATACTTTTTTCTGTGTGTAATACAGTGGTAATCAATGAGTAATCAGGCCAGAACAAAGCTAAACCGTTTCGTCATCAGCTTATCACCACCAAGTTATTGCGTAACAAAGGTTGTTTTGAAACAATAAAACAACGTCTTCACAATTACAATATAAGGCCATGAAAATGCCTCTAAATTCTTATTTCTTCTTTTACTTTTTCAAGTTTTTTTCTTTGCTGGTCTTCTTGACCCTTTTTTTTGCTTTGAAAGCAATTGCAAGCTTAGCCAACACTAAAATATCGATCATTTTTAATTACAATTGGCTCTCTTATCGTCCCTGGACTTTGATAATTGTTTCTGAGTACAATAAAAGGGGAGAAATGGGTACAAATCACAAGAAAACATTAAAAACCCTTTGGTTAGGGTGTAAGTTAACTTTTTTAATTTGTGCTTACAATTAGAGTAAGCACTATGTGAAAAGAATCAAAAAAAGCTGTTCCTTTAGAAGGGTTTCGTTGAGCAGAATTTTATTTTGGCCTAAGGTTTACTAGGGACACGTCTAGGCCTCTTTCGTTTCATACAGGTTTTGCTGTACAGGAGTTCTTGCATTATGTATAAATATTGTGGGACTTCTGCAAAATGAATTTCTATGTCAAGAAAAGACTCTCGGGGTTAGAATTGTCATGGTTCGAAACGAGATTTTAGACTATTGCCATATACATCTTTCAATAGTTAACCTGAAAAGGGAACTTGATAAATTTTGACACTTTAAAGATATTTTTCGGATTTCAAAGGATCTACATGTTATGTAAAGTGAATAACTTTTTTCTCCGAGATGACCACATACTTTGTCTCAACGCTACTTTTTGATCTCTTTGGCAGTATAGGATGAGCCAAAATCATTACGTTAATATTCCACTTTGCCTGATATCTCAACTCCATTTTTTCCCAAATTTATCACCGAAAGTGTTCGCCATAAAAAGACCCAGCTCCATTTCCCATCTTTTGGCCCGCTTATCTCACCAATATCAGGCCCAACTTCCGTCCGCAAACTGTCGACTTTGTCATGTTTTCCGCGCTTATCAGTAAAAATTGACTAGAACTTTTGCCGAAAAAACAAAATTTTCTAAAATTCAGTGACTCAAGCTTACTGTAAATACAGTAATCTCCACGACTTTTTCCCTAAACTTTAGATTTTTTCAATTTTTGAGAAAAAATTTGCCTTATGGCGTCTAAATAAATCTGCAATCCAAGAGTAAGAAGATCAAAGGGGCATTAAAGCAGCAGAATGAAAAGCTGCACCCAAATTGGAAGAGGCCGCTCGAATTTTGCAATGAAAAACGCCCAAGTCAGAAAATTCTTTTTAAACTTATTTTGACGTAATAAACGTCATCGTTACGTTGACTTCGGTGATGACTATGACTGATGACTTTGGCGGGGGGTTTGGGGCACATTATTGACTTTATTTTGACTCCAGCAGGCATTAATTTGAATGGCAAGCCGCGCCCTGGGTTAATATTGTAAGTCGTCAAGATGGGCAGTTTTGGGTGTAATTTTGTTTTGGTGAGGTAAAATACGCACCGTTCAGATATATCATTACTCATATCTTCTGAAATCAATAAATCTCACATAATTTTTTTGCATAAAAAATATCGGATGGCCATGGATAATATAAAAATTTTTTGCAATCGTTTTCAATGTTTCTAATGTTTGTTTTAATTCCCCCCAAGGCACAGTTCTTACCGCAATTTGTACCGTTCTCTCCCCATTTTGCAACTTCCACCACGAGAATTTTGGCGAGAAAATTTCCCTTTGAAATTGCGACGAAATGCCAAACGATTTTAGTTTTTGATGGAAATTCCAACAAATTTCCCGGACTTGAACGTATTGCATGGAATAGGAACAATGGAGATACTACGAGCAGACCAGAACCATAACTTCTTCAAGGGTAAGCGGAATTGACTTTGGTTTTGATTTGCTTAGGTATCTCGGGGTAAAACATGTGGAAAAGGGAGATTGAGTGGCCTAAAAATGAGAAATATGGGTGTTTTATGTGTATGAGGGCCTGTTTTAGTTATCAGATGGTAAGAGTCGACAGGATTTGCGGAAAATTAAATGATTTGAGGTGTTTTTGAGATCTGATCCATCTGGATATAAGTTAGGTTAAAAAAATGAAGTAATTGCCGATTATTTATTGAAAAGAATTTATTTGGACGTGATTGGATAGAAGAAGTTGTAAATTTTTTTTTTCGAAGGCTTTGGCTTGAATAATCCACGGTTTTCGCCATGGATAACATAAAAGGCTTCACTTTTTGCCGAAAATTTTGTGATTCTCTGTCAGAAACCGTCTTTGTTGGATTTTCCAGATCCATTTGGACGAGACATTGAAATTCCTTTCGTATTTTACCCTACTTTCTTTCCTTCACCTTCAAAAAAACGAAAATCGCATGAATTTGGAAATGGAATAGGGTAGTTTTATTTGGCATGATTCATCTTCATTCTGACTGCAACAAGGAAGAAAAACAGAATGAGCAAAAGCCATATGACCTATCGTTTACGAGAAACAGCGATTTTCAAGTCTAACGAGATAACATCTAGAATTTGCGGGAGAAAAAACGTAATTTAGTTGGGGAAACTAGCGTGAATTTGATAAACAGCGAGCTGAACGTTTGCTGGAATTGTCAAATTAGTTGTATAAAGACTTCTTATGATAGCCTGACGCGTTTGAAAAGTAATGAAGTGTAGTTTTGGCTATTGGTCGATCGTCCTGGCATTATATTACACTTGGGTATCAAGGGTAATATAATACGTAAAAAACTTGGGTTTTTGATTTTAAGAAGGGTTCTCGTTGTCAGAGTATGGCTGGTTTTAGTCTAGAATTTAATTTTACAATCAATTTTACAGTCTATGATCTATTTTTGATCTTGATCTTCACCATGAGTGAAATTGTAAAACTTTTGTTTTCAAATTTTTTGATGATAGCCTAAAACCTTCATAAACAAAAGGATTAGGTCACGTTTGATGTAGCCTCTCTAATACTGGCTTATAACACTCAATATACGCAGGTTTATCCTTGACTTTCCTTTAAAATCACCTTTGAGGTCACGTCTAACATAAAATAATCTCGCCTCTCACGCTGATCCTCAGTTTGCACTCTTCTAAGACGCTCAAAATAGCCTAGGGATTATAACAGCTCTTCCTCAGGATTATGGCGCCTCTTTTTCCGTCTTTCTTTACCGTAATCTTGGGCAACTGACTCCGAATATAAAAGCCCAAAGTTTTCGCGAACAACTCGCGTTTTTTGTTTTTGTATACACAGCGTTTGGGGGCTGCCTCGACCCCTTCAACAGCGCCTCTTTCTCTTTCCCCGTCTTTGCTCAAATCACGGAGAAAATTTTTTGACTCTAAAGCGGACTTTTTATCGATTTTTTCGTCGTCTTCCAATCTTTATTTCGCCCCTTTTCCTGCTCTAAAAGCACTGGCGGAGCGCGATTTTGCCGCGTAATTTGAAAACATTCCAAGTAACATGGTTTTACATTAGTTTTTGATCAATTTTTCTATTGTTTTACCTTATTTTAGTGGGTAAAATGAAATATCCTTGATTTTCGTTATACTCTTCTTGATTTGAGGGAGTGTGGAGGCTTGAAATGAGTGAGTCATTGGACGTCATAACTGTTTATATATTATAAACTTGATATAGATTTAAAATACGAGGATTGCCGTTCGATTTCTGGAAGGAATTTTTCATTTTTTTATGATTTGTTTTTGGTTTTGAGTAGATTAAAGGTAATTTTCGAGTCGTTAGTGGAAGGAGTTGTGGTCAGAAAAGGCTCTTCGGGTCTGTAATCTGGTTTGGAATACTGTAACTTTGGTTTTTCGTTGATCTTTAATGGGAGTTTCGGTTCGACAGACTTTTTAAATTTTTATGGCTGGCCTTCAATAATTTCGGATTGTTTTTCGGTTCTCATCTCCTTTTTCATGTCCTCAACTTTTTATCAAACAGTTTTTGAACTGTTGAGGCCTTTATTTTTTTGTTGATCAACGATCGGATTAATTCATACAAAAAATTAATTAATTTTTCGATTAAAACTCGGAATTTTGATCTCTCTCCCCATCCATTTGTCATGTTCTTAATAACGAACGGCTTTGGTTATCAGAATCTTTGCCTTTCCTATTCCTAATGATTAAAAATACAGTATCCGGGGGGCTTTTTTCGGATTCGAAATGCAGTTTTTTGAAGGCGTTCGGATGATTCATTTTGAATAAAGAGCTCTGGGTTTTATCTCTTCTCAGATCTGCAAAGGGATTCTTCTGATTAGGGGGGATTCATAGATGTTTATTTTTGAATTGAGAGTGATAAAATAAGCAGTCAATTGTTAGAGTTAAAATTTTTAATTGAAGAAGAGGTAGCTCAGTATAATATAGGATTTTCTGATGATATGGTTGATTTGTGAGGTGTAAAAACAGCTTATGAAGTTCAAAAACAGCTAACTGTGACCTTAATTGACCTCTTTTTAAGTATTAATTTGCTGTTTTGTTGTGAGCGTCTAGTGTTATATCACAGATTTGATGTCTGCACTCTTGTAAGACTGATGCAAAGACCAATTGTCTTGGCGGAGCAGTTTACAGTGACGTACCCGATCCAGTGGCGAAAAACGTACCATTTTCCATCCGGGAAGCATCAAAAATGTGGCAATATGTTTCCCTCTCCAAGTGAAAAAAAACTTTGTTTTTAAAAACTTTCACTTGGAGAGGGAAGCATTTTGCCACATTTTTGATACTTCCCGGACGAAAAATGGTACGTTTTTACCACTGGATCAGGTCCCCCACTGTAAGTTTTGCCTCGCATCTTTCGCTTTATTTTCATTCTTTTCAAACCCTACACTAGACACCTAGTACAATATCAGAGTCATCCGTCTAGACACGTGACCTATTCAAAGACCAATTGCATGCCTTAATGACCTCTGATGCTTTGATATTTGATTTCCAATTGGATTCATGATTCGTTGTTTACTTCCGGTCTCGTGACTCCATCCCTCGAGTCGTTCCTCCTTATTGAAAGTTTTCCCAATTGGGAGAAATGTCGAGAAACGTTGGCGATAAGATACGGTCGGAAGAGGCAGAGATTGGCTTATACATGTAAATAGAAATTATTTTGATATACATGTTGGAGTATATAATATTTGGTCGGGGGAGTATTTGAACAGCATTTTTTGGGGTGGATTCTAATAAAAACTGCTGAATTTCGATTAAAAACAAAGGGAAGTAATTTTGTGGGATAGAAATATGGTAAAGAATTTGAGAATTTTTAGTTAAATTACCTTATTTTAGATACTTTTTGTAAAATTTTTAATTTTGCCAAATTTTATGTGTTTCATGTCAAACTTTTATGACTAAATAATGGCTTGTGACGTCTCACGTCACCCACTGTTATCTTTTTAGTAGACATCCGGTTCGATCTTTACGTCACAATGAAAGTCAAATATATCATCTTTTGTACTCAAAATTTTGATAAAAATGTATATTATTCATCAATTCCTGTATTCCCGGATCTCAAATAAGTTAAATAGACATCAAACCCCCTGTCAATCCAAACAGTCAATATAAAAAAATCAGTGGGCGCACTCAGAACAGCATTCGAGAGAAAATTCTTTGATTTTTCTTTCCTTTTTGGCTTTTGATGGGATTATGCGGTTGGGGCTACGGTAGCGAAGGGAAGTCAAAATACAAACTTTAAAGAAAATGCTAATTCGTAAGTAAAGAGAGGCAAGGGGTGTTGTTCAGAGAGTGGAATTTTGATTTTAGCGGTTTTGAAAAATTTTGGCATAGGTGTTAAAATTTAAATTAAAATGTTGATTTATTATATATTTTGGGGGTTTGAAGGATCAGGGGACATACATTTGCTATATTTTTATTTTTTGTCTTTGATGTTGCGGACCTTTTATACGATGAAAGGTGTTCGAAAATTCATGCAAATTTGATCGTATAAAATGTCACCATGGTTGTGAATGCCGGCTAGAGTACTGATTATCGCATAAGTTGTGTTTTAAAATTTAATGGGCCATTTTTATGACCTCTTCTTTTCCAGAAATGAACCTTGAAGAAGACAAAGACAGGACGCTAACGGCCGAAAGCTTCGAGCCCTTCCAAGCCCAGGAAATCAGCGACTTCAACTACTCTATCCGTCGCCCCACCTCGATCCCCATCGACAAACGCCAGCATGTTCACGTTCCCTTCACCCAGAGTCCCATCGGTGCTACGCTGAACGCGGAATTGGGTGCCGATCTTCACCGCACGGTGCAGTCAGAGCCTTTCAATTTGAGTCAGAAAGGCGAACCTGCAGTGATTTCCGATATTCGAGTGTATCTTCCGGATGGAAAAGGTGAGCTTTTTTTATTTAGTTCTATTGATTTTTACAATTTTTTGCGGAAGGGACAAGTTATACAATGAAAATGTTTGGGGGTGTTTTTGTCGTATAAAACAGTATGGCTAGTACAAGATTGAGTGTAAAATGTAAAATACGGTAATATGTCTTTCCTTTATCGTTTGTTTTGTGTGTGGACAAGTTATACGACGGAACATGTTTGAAAGGTTTTATCGTATAAGATGTCTCCTAATTTGTTCTCGATGATTAATTGCAGTACTTTGTAAAATACGCTGTGTTTAAAATAATTTGCGTATCTTTTAGCACTCCAAATCCCAGTGGAGGATGCCGAGACAGCGATGTCCGCCGAACTCCTCTCCGCAATAACAGATCACTTGGAGATTGAGGAGGACGTCGGTGCCGAAGCATTGGCCCTATGGCTCATCTCCCCCCTCTTGGAGATCCAGTTGAAACCCCATCACAAGGTGTATGCCATCCGTCAAAAATGGGCCGCCTTGCTCCGCCGCTTCTCATTGGCTAGCGAGGACCAGATTACCTATGATGAACCGCTACTTGTGATTCGAAGAAATGTTCATTTGTCGGTTGTGGCAGAAATTGAAGTGAGTTTTGATTTTGATATTGTAGTAGGTGTTAGATGGAAAAAAATGAAGTAGAAGGTCAATTTCGGAATTGTTTTTAGTATGAAGATCAATTTGAATGCCTAACTGAAGTCCTCTACCTGCACGCGAAAGATGAATACTTGAGCGGACGGTATATTGTCGATATGGAACAAAGCCGGAAATTGGCGGCCCTGCTGATGGCTGTCGAACATGGCACATTCGACAAGGACCAAGAGGCCATGGAGGTTTTAAGGTGAGTTTTCAGATAATTTTGCTCTTTTTTTACTATTTGAGCCGTTAAATTTTGAAAATATTTTTTTTTTGAGTCCCACCACGAAGATTTGAAATTTATTTTTGGATAGAATAAGATGAATAATGCTGAATCAGAGTGTATTTTAAGTGCAATAACAGATTTTTAAAATCGTATTGGGTTTTATTTACAGTATGACAAAGTTTGGGTATCACCAAGATAACTTGTTTTCCCTGATTTATTTTACCTCAAAATAGCTCAATATGAACAGGAAAAATGCTTATCTAATCTTGGGTAATTAATTAAATTTCCCCAATTTTCAGCGAGGAACTGCCCAATCTTATCCCTCAACACCTGATCAACAAGTGCAAATCATTCTTTTTGTTTGGCCTGAACTCGATGGAATGTAAAAAGGGATGTGAAAGACAGATCCTCAACGAATACAAAGCAGTATTAGAGGATCTGCAGGACAATCATCAAAGGAGGAAGTCCTTTTTGAACATTCTCCGAAGAAATCCTTGCTATGGGTAAGTGGAAAAACTGGGATTTGGTAGTTTATTGGTTGGTGTGTTCGGACGTCATGTGGATTACAGTGACCTGATCCAGTGGCAAAAAACGTACCACTTTGCATCCGGGAAGCATAAAAAATGTGGCAAAATGCTTCCCTCTCCAAGTGAAAAAACTTCGGTTTGAAGGGGGGCTTTTGAAATCGGGGTTTTTTCACTTGGAGAAGGAAGCATTTTGTCGCATTTTTGATACTTCCCGGATGCAAAATGGTACGTTTTTTGCCACTGGGTCAGGTCTCCTACTGTATGTTTGCCGCATGATTTTGGATGGTATAGGCATAGGAGGGATTGTTTTTTTGTGAGAATTTGAAGTAAGATTACAAAAACAAAACAAGTCTTTATGATGTGTTTCATTGTCTATAGAACAAAGGCTTTGTGAAAAGCCGAACACTCGAATTTTGTACCATGATCGGGAGAATTTTCATATAAGAAATATTGGCTATCTTATAATGAAAAACTATAAATTTATTTTTCAGTGCCGCCTTTTTCTACGGCAGCATAGATCGGCGGCCGGCCAGCTCTTGGCTCGCGGCAACGAAACGATTCTTCTCCCAACAGCAGCAACTGGAAATTCGAATTGGAATCAACAATGAGTTGATTACGGTAGCGGACGATAAGACCAACGAATTGTTGTTGACCAGAAGGGTCCTCGATTGCTCATGGTTCAGCTCGCAAGAGTAGGTTTTTCGGAGAGCATTGGTTTTATTTTTAAGCGCCATTTTATACGATGAAAAGTGTTTTTTGAAATTTAAAAGTTTGATCGTATAAAATGTCACTTCGTATAATTTTTCGATCTAATGGTGTATATTTTGCAGAGACAATCTTGATGAAGAAATTCCATCCTTCTTTTTGCACTTCCCCGACGATTCGGTCCTAGAAAAAATGGATGAATCCGAACTTTCGGGTCACGAATCAGAGATGGACGGATGCAGTGGCGCCTCCATCGCTGACGACCTCGTCACCCGCCTCATCCAAGTCTTTTCGAAGCAGGCCTCCCTCATTGACGCACTGCTGGTGTCGATCAAAGACCGCACTACCTCAGACTACGGCTCCAACGAAGATATCTCTATAGAATCCCCAGAATCTCAAAGCACAGAGGATCCGGTAAGATTTTTTTTGGTTTTTTTTTTATTTTGTGGTTTATTTGAGAGTTAAATGAGTCTGGAGGAGGGTTAGAAGTGTTTTTATTGGGGTTTTCTAAATTTTAGAGCGGAAATTGATAATTTTTTTTGTGTTTGAAAAGTTGGGGGTCCGATGTACGGTAAAACAAGGTTTTTGAATCGAATAAAGTCTATGAAGTGGCTTTTAGCTGATTTTCGGGAGTTTTAGAGTGAAAATTTTAATGAAAATTTTGGGTAGTACAATATAATTGAGTCTCGATTTTAGGGCAAATATGGGGTTTTTATGCAAAAAGATGATTTCAAAGTTTGTTTAAAAAAATTTCATGACTTATCATAACCATTGCAGATCTCACTCCCCGCCCATTCCCACAAAACCCTGAGCACGCGCTCGGTGGCCTCATCCCGAAATTCGTTGGCCAAGTCGACCCGCAGCAACTGGTCCACCTTCTCCAACATGAGCACCTACTCCAACTCGAAGCTCTCCAAACTTTGTGTGGCGACCATCGACCCCGAGGGCAAATGCACCGAGGCGCACGGTGCGTTGCGCCGCCTTCTGGAATGCAACTGATTACTCGCATTTTTCTTTGTTAAATTATTGTTTTTTTCCAATTACTGTCGGGCGTAGTGTAGTCGAAGTGATGTCCAGAAGCGAGGAAAGGGATTTTGGAGGTATGAAGGGGAATTTGAAAAATTTTGAAAGGCTTTTTTGAGATTTTTTGGGGTTTTTTGCCAAGTTTTTACGATTTTTTCGCCAAATTTTGGGATTTTTCGCCAAATTTTGGTGATTTTTCGACAATTCGTACCTAAAAAATCTCAAAAAGAAAAAAAGCCACGAATTTTTTTTAGTCTCTCTGTTCTTTCAGACTCCGATTCCTCGCTCAATCAAGGCCCTTTCGATTGTGTACACAGGATAGAACGGGTATATCTTTGTCTTTACAGTAAACTTTTCCCCCCTCCCAGTGTCTTTTTTGTTGTGTAATATCGGTTATTGTTACTTGCGAATATTTACCATGGTTTATAATTACCTAAATCACTTTATCACCCACTTTTTTAATTTTTTTTCACAGAGTTTCTATAATTTTATGTTGTTTTTTTTGACATTTTTTTATGCGACTAGACGTCTATATTTGTACATTAGGTCCGGGATTTTTTTCGCAACCGACCACGAGCTTTATTTCCAGCGAAAATAAAGAAAACCAAAGAATTTCAGTGGTCTCAAGCTGTTGTTTGATGGATAAAAGTTTGAAAACAGTTGAAATTTGAATTGTATGCCAAAAAAATATTTTAAGATGAATAGGGCAACTGGAAGTGTGATTTTTTTAGCAAAAAATGTCAGTATTGGAGATTTTTGACTTTGCTGGACCAAGTTATACGGTAAAATGTGCTTTTTTAATTTGATTTTATACGATCAAACATGTCAAACAAGCCTAGTGGAAAATTTCGTATTTTACCCTTACAAAATTATCTTTATTATAGCAAAAACATTACAAGATTGAGATTTTGAGATCACGATAAAGTTGAGAATTGAAGATTGAGATCAAGGAATCGCCGTTAGGAAAGATCTTTCACAAAACTTTTGAATTCTGAAAATAAAAACTTTTGTGGACAGCGAGGACTCACGCTCAAAGGTGATGACTCCTTCCGAATTGGCAAGCTTGTTGAATTCGGCCACGAAATTGGGGTACTGCTTGGCCAAAGAGCCCAACGCTTTGTAGGCCAACTCGGCTTCCTCTACGCTTAAAACTCCGTTTTTGTCCGAGTCATGGGCGTCGTAGATTTGACCTGGAATCATAGTCATGTCAAGGGAGAAGGGATAATTGTAATTCAGGTGTCAAAAGAACTCTGTGTCATAATATTAGGATCAAAAAGGGACTTGGAGTGATGCGTCATCAGATTTTTTCATAAATCAAAATAAAATTCGTATTTGGCCGTTCTATTTTTAGCTATAGTTAGTCATCATTGCTTTTTAAGATATGTAACACAGTTGAAACTAAATTTGAATCCTTTGGCGTTCTGATTTCAATTTGAAAAGTTAGGAAAACCGAAAAAAATCGGAAGTCTTGAATTTTTCTCATTATTCGAAATTAAGCTACCTAAAATTCTAAGAATAGAACTGAGCACGACGGATTGTGCCTTCTTATGGACGTTATTAGTTGTCTTAATTATTGGCTAGCCTTTTTTACATTTTTATTATGGGCTAAAATGGTTTTAGAATTTGCAATTTTGAGGTCGTTACCGTAACATGAACAAAAACTTTTAGCTTCGGGTTTGTGAAGAAAATCGCATGATTCTTTTTTATGGCCTTGGGGTGTCTAAAAAAATTACAATTTTTTTTTTGAAAATTTAATTTTTTGTAATGATTTTTTTTCGATTTTACCGGTCGATTAATAATTTTTTTCAATCGTACTTACGAATTCTGTCGATGGAAGCCATTTTTCGCCGATGATTTTTGCTAAAATTGAAAAAAAATTTATCACGAAAACATTACATAAAAACACGACCTTAGGTCAAAACGAAAAAAATGGCCGGAAAATGCCGGAAGAAACAGAATCCGACGCCACGCGTCGCCCTAAGTGGAGGTTTTACCGGGGAAACGCCCGCCCTCAAAGAATGAGTTCAATGGAATGAAAGAAACAACAATGACACTCTGCAACTTGAATGGGTTATAGACATGGGGACACTTGTACTTTGTAAGGTACAAAAATTTTGATTTTATAGCCAAGTAAACGGGATTTTATGAAGAAAAATCAAAAATTTTTTTTGAAAATTCGAAAGTTATTAGTGTAAATTAATATATGTAATAAGTATAGGAATTGTTTGCAAAATGAAGACAGTCATCCCCATGGAAACTGGATATCCCAAATCTGACGTTCCAAAGCCTTACCGGGTTCGGAATTTGAAACCAAAGTTTGGCTTCGCCAAAAGAGAATAATATTTGGATGAATCCATACTCTCTCGGTTGGCATATAGATAACATGTTTGTCTATAAATATAGGTGGAAAGTTTGATGGGTAAAAATAGAAAAAAATTACGGTAAAATTTTTTAGGGCGAGATCTAAGAATTGGTGACAAAAATTATAATGAACAAATCCCAAAATAAAATTTTTGAAATTGATATCTAGATTAGATAAAGTATGCTTTAAACTGGATAAAAAAAATTGTGTTAGTAATAGCTAAAATTGGAAAAAGTGGACGTATTGCAAGTCTTCGCCAAGTCTCCGCCGAGCCTTCGCCGAGTGTCCGCCGACCACCCAACTTGACTACGAGGCTTTGCCAGGCCTCGTAGGCACTTTCTATACCTTTTTTTGCGTATCCACCTGCCCTACGCTCCGTATCAACCAATTTTGTAGAGCCGAAAAGTCGGGACACAAAATTATCGACCGAAAATTTGCCTGTAATCTATAGAGGATCACAGAACAGACTTTTAAATTTTGCTTACTGAGAAGCCCTGAGGGTTTTAAAAAGCTTCATGACTTGGCATGAGCGCCTAAAACGCCTAGTCCACCCTCCATTAGCCTCTCTCCGCTCCCCGCCAAACTCTCGAAACTTCTGGGCTGAAAACTTTATTCGGACCAACTCAACTCATATCCGACATACATTGGCAACCTCTTCCCCTCGCATGTCGGATATCGGGCACGACGGAGGATATCAGGTTGACTGTGCCTCCCGAAAAAAGCGGCGTCGGATTTCTGGAAAACCGGGTTCAGCGGAAAGCGGCCGTGCATCCGATACTGTTCTATGACATATTGGGTTAACTTATATGGGCAGAAAACTCGGTCCAGGAGATATAATGGATATCAAACAGAGGGAAGACGACATTGATATCGTCAATGTAGGAATTATAGTTTGAAGCGAGCTTGCAGTTGGGAAATAGGGGAGCAAAAAATCGGTTTTTTGAAGGAAATTCTTAGCTATGGCCTTGAATTGAAAAAAATGTCATAACTTGCAAGTTTATGCATCAATTTTTGTGAAATTTGGTATAGACTTATTTAAAGGTCTCAAAACTCTGTTGGCAAAATATCAGAGCAAGTTATGCAGTAACTGTTGAGAAATTGCACAGTAAAAATTTCAAAATCTTAAAATTTTTCCGACGATTTGGGCTGAGCAAAACACCCGCTACAGTAACCTAAGGTCGTAAGTGCCATTCTAAGTCTATTTTGAGTCTAGATTTGCCATTTGGACTCTTCTGGCAACCTTATATACACCATGGCTTCAAATTAATCCAGAAATCGAAAATCTCTGGAACATCCCATTAAGCCGTCAAATTTCAAATCACAGTATATCCAACATGTGACACAGAGCCATAAAAGCACTTTCAAAGGCATAGTAAAGAAATTTAAATTTAGAATACAATCAATTTCTGACTCCGCCCCATAACCGGATTTGGAGAAAATGATGCCAGACAGATGTTGGCAATAATTATGACAAATTTGGTTGGTAAGCAAGATTTCAGGCAGAAACTGGCAATTTACAATGGCCAGTTCGAATCTGTCAACAAAGTTCCTGTGTGGTAATTACACCTTGCTAATTAGAGATGTTCGGTTTAAAAAATTATTATAAATTGCGTTGATATTTATTTCGTTTATGCACTTTCTCAAATTTATTTGCACTCATGAACATTTCAGTGACTAAAAATGCCGGGTTTTGCCATTTTTCCTGATTTTATTAATCTTCGTATAAAATGTCCTCCGCAGCTTGCGGATTTTTGATTACGCAGCGTGCGCCCGAGGTTTTGTTGAAAAATAAGAAAAATTATTTTTTGGGGAGAAGGAGAATTATAAAATACGACAGAGTCCTAATTTTTACTGTAGTAGTACTAAACCGATGTAAATATTGCTGTCTTCTAGGCAATTTTAATGGTTATGTCGCTTTGATGTTTAATTTTTTATCTTTTTTTCATTGTTTTTTATGTTGTTGCTTACTACGGGATCTTATGCGTGGTAAAAAATGACCCACTATACTCTAATTTGAATATTACTTTAGATGGTGAAAAAACAGAAGTCCGGACCGCCAGTTAGCGCGGGTCAGCGCCGAAAAGCGACCAAAAGGATTCTGAATCTTCGAAGGAAAGGGAAACTGAGTGAGGGTTTGGAAAAAGAGTTCGGAGAGTATAGAAGGAAACGGACTTCCAAGCACGCCGATCTTGCTAATAGGGTAAGTTAATATTTTGCTTTTTATTTTTGTTTTTAGGTGTCAGAACTTGATGTCATATGAATTAATAGGTTTAATAGGGTTTCGTGATCATGTTATCGCTTTTGATTGTTTTTAAGCTGTACTTTTGACCGAATTTTTTAAAATTGTCATGGATAACATAACTTCATATGCAATTGTGTTGTAGATAGAAGAAGATTGGCTGGCGGATCGAGCATTCCGAGATCTCAATGACGACAATGATGATTTTGTCCCATTGGACATGATAAACGAATACGAGGATAGGAAAGCAGCCAAAAGAAAAGCTGAAGGTAAGGGCAAGGAAAAATTCGGTTTCTTCTGCATTTTTTCGGGCGAATACAATATAAAATTTTTAGCCGAAGACGATCTCGACGAGTTGAGGCATTTCAAGGAAGTAGAGGAAGCCCAACAAGAGTTACTGCCGCTGAAAGTGAACGGAGAAGTTGTCAGGAGATTGAAGAAAAAGGGAAAGAAGGTCGAATTAGTAGAAGATCAGAAACCCGAAGAACCGCAGCCCAAGCTGAAAATCATCGGAACCGAAGAGGAAGACATGGAGGAGGACGAGGAAGAACCTGAAGGTAAATATTTTTATAAATTTGTTTGTCTATTTTTAGAAGCCCCAAAAGAAGAAGATTTGAGCCTATTGGACCCAATCGATCGGCTTGTCCGAACCAAGGAATTGATGAAAGAGGCTGAAACCAAGATTACTAACTATGTTAAGAGTCTGGCCGTCGACCCACAGGGACAGGCAAGTATATTTGTCTTTTTTTGACTTCGATCTTTAGATAAATTGCCTATCAGAGATGATTAAAATGGCGACCGGCCAAAAAGTCCATTCCGCAATCAGAGAGCCCTCTCAATTGATGGCAATCGCTTGTCTGACCGAAGTCTTTATTGATATTGCCCCAGGGTATCATATCAGGCCAATGACGGAAGAAGAAAAAAATCAGACAATGAAGAAGGAGACCAGGAAGCTGGTCAATTTTGAAGAGAGAATCGTCAAAAATTATTTGAACTTCCTGACGTACTTGGAGAAAAATGCAATGAGTAAGTGTTGGAGGGGAATTTTTAGAAGCTTAAGGGGGTTTATTAGGAAGTTTGACGTTTTTTAGTCAAAATTGATATTATTTTTGCTAAGTTTATATGTTATTTTTAGTTTTTTTATGCTTTTTGGATTTTGATTTTAGAAAATAGAATGAATAAGGGCCCTTAAAGAAATTTTTAAAGGTTTTTGGCTAATTTATTTTGATTTGTGGGGTTTTTTGATATTATTTCAGATAATAATATACCTTATTTTAGAGCTGGTCAAACCATCGGTAAACATGATCCACGAAAAGAGTTTCACCACGGAAATTGGCCTCCTCAGCATCAACTCCCTGGCGAATTTGTTGGCCAAACTCTCCCATTTTAATTTCGCCATCAATCTCATCGATTGCATGGTCAAGATTGCGACCAGCGCCTATAAACCGGTCGTGGAAATTGCAACGAAATCAATCCAAGAAATGTTCAAGGCGGACCCAAGCTTCAGATTATCACTCTTCGTGGTGAAAGCGGTCAATCAACTGATCGGATCGAAGAAATTCAAGATCTCCTCGGAACTTTTGGACAGTTTATTGGCGTTGAGGATCAAGGTGGGTAAAATAGGGTCGAAATTTTGGGAAGTTGAATTTTGTTTTTTGTGATATTTTTTTGATTAGTGAGAGTATTATATTGTAATTGATTCAGAACATTGATCGCCGCGACAAGGAAACTGAAATGGAGAATTTGAAAAACAAAAAACACAAGATTCTGAAGGAACACAAGTCCAAGACTGCGAAAAAGTTTGATAAGCAGATGAAGAAGGTGGAAGCTGACCTCAAGGAGATTGAAGCATCCGAGTCGTTGTCTAATAAACTCAAAACAGTAAGTTTTTTTTTTGAATTTCAGTTGGGATGAAAATAAAAAAAAAAGTCAAATTTTTTTTTGATTTTTTTTGGCGTTTATTGCAAAAAATTGCATTTTTAGCAACTAAATTTTACTGTAGTACCCTTAAAATGCATTTAGAATTTATTTTCAGTCCACCGAAGTCATGAAACACCTATTTCTCCTCTATTTCCGAGTCCTAAAACGAATGCCCGAGCCCAGATTAATCAGCCCGGTACTGGCTGGATTGTCCAAATTCGCTCATCTAATCAATATTGACTTCTTTGATGACTTAATAACAACACTAGAGGACCTCATTGGCAAGGAACATCTCAGCACAATGGATTCTCTGAACTGCGTCAAAACAATGTGTGTAATTTTGTCGGCCGAAGGTCAAGCGCTGAACATTGATCCGATCAAATTCTACAAGGAATTGTACAAATTGATGCCGAATATTGTCTTTCAGAAGAACTCCGGTACGTTTTGGGGTGGTTTGAGAAGGTCCCTGAGAATCAGGGAAATCGTGGTGGGGCTCTTAAAAGTGGATATAAAATTGCTGAAATTTGGATTATTTTAGTCGGAAGGGTCCTGGGAAAATCAATTTACAGGCAATTTTTGAATATTCAAAGGGATTTGTATAGTTTGGGCAGTTTTCGTGGTGGTACCCGAAATTTTTTAAAAGTCGTAGGTTAGGTCCAAAATAGGATAAATTGAAAAAAATAAAACACTGTGGCCGTTTTGGGGTTAGTCTAAGAAAGTTTATTTTTAATTTTTCACTTTTACGTTAATTAAGATATGTTATATTGATTAAGATACCACGACTAAAACTTTTTAATTTAAAAATTTTTTTTTAATTTTCAGAGAAGCAAGACTCGGAAATCCGCCTCCTCTGTCAATGCCTGGACTCGTTGATCAACCGCCGAAAGAAGCAAGTCCCGTTTTCGAGAGTAGTCAGCTATACGAAACGTCTTCTTCAACTTGGATTCCTAATGACCCCGAGGCAATTGTTGTCGGTCCTCGCAACAATACGAACCCATTTTATAGCCCATCCGAAATTGTGCACACTAGTGGAGGAGGATGAGGATTACTGGGCAAATGGATTGTACAGAGCCGACTTTCCGGACCCAGATCACACGAATGCGCAGAGCACGGACCTTGTAATGGAACTCCAGAAGTTGTTAAAGGTGAGAAAGAGGTGAAAGGGCCCTGAGAGGAGTTTAAAGAGTAAAAATAACCATATTTTTAGTACCCCAACAGCTACATAGTCCAATACGCAAAGCATCTTCTACAACAAGCTCCGTCAAGCGGCCAAGAGAAATTAAATGGCCAATGGTCCACAATGAAGCCTTGGGAATGGCTGAACAAAGAGGAAGTTAAACAGACCCCTCCTGCCTTCAAGGAAAGCCTGCAAACCTTCGCCAAGGCAAGTATAATATAATTTTTTTAAATTTTTGTCCTTATTTTTACATTTTCAGAAAAAGAACATCAAATTAAGCTCCAAGAACGTTTGTTCCACTGTGGAATTGTGGTTACAACAGAAATAATTAAAAAAATTTTGACTAAAATATTGTTAATTGTTAAAAATTCTTGTTGTTACTTGTTGATTCTGTATGAAATTCGAATAAAATTTTGTTTATTATTACCTAGGAAGACTGCTCTCTCAACATTTTGGCTTTTTTGAACCTATGACGTACCTAGAAAAGACCTATTTTAATATTTTATTATCCACTATCAAGTACAATATCGGGCGGGGAAACAAATAACATTCACAACAATGGTTTAACAATCAAGAATACAAAGAGAACCTAGAAGATCATAAAATGAGGGGTTTGATGCCCTTAGGCATTTTCTTGGAACTCCTTGGCCACTGGATTCTCGCCCGAGGCCTTGGAATAGTCGGGTTTTAGCTTTTTCTCGGCGTTCTCTCCGTATGGGTTGAAGCCAAGACGTTCCATCTCGGCTTTCATCAGTTTCTTCAGGTATTTGGGGTCTTTTTCTTCCTCAGTTTTGGGTGGGAGGACCTCGAGGAAGACGCCAGTACCTACTGTAACATCTCCTTTGCGGATGGTGAAGCGCTGTTGGGGCTCGATGTACATCTTATGGGCCAGGGAGAGGGTTACTCTGAAAATTGGAGAGATAAAGCAAAGTGAAGAAGAAAATGTAATCAGAGTTAACAATCCAAACCTACTCCGCATTTTCTCCGGGCATAATGAAGTCCTTTCCTTGAATCTGCATGCTCGCATTGTTGTCCCAGGTCAAGGAGAAGATGTGCTGGGTCACAAAATTGGCCATGGGGATCTTCGAACCTCCCTCTTCTTTCTTCAAACAGTACAATTGGGCCTTAACTTTGTCAGTAAAATTCTTGGTGGCTTCTGAGCCAGCTGGAACAATGACACAACCTCTTCGCAGCGCTTTGGCTGGGACGTTCTTCAGCAAAATACCGAGCTGATCTCCGGGCTGGGCAATATCCACGGTCTTTTTGAAGGACTCGAGGCCAGAGACGATCGAGGGGAAGGTGCGGCCATATCCGAGGACCTCGACCTTGTCGTTCTTCTTGATGGATCCACATTCCAGCTTGCCGGTCACAACGGTTCCACGGCCTGAAAGTTACACCACATGTAGCGGCCAAAACAACTCTCCTGTCCTAAAAACCAAGCACAAATCAAAAATACTCACCTTGAATGTTGTACACATGCTCGCACGAGAATTTGGGAGATTTGCTGACATCTCTTTCGGGGATCTTGAAGTTGTCCAAGGTATCCAAAAGTTGCTTGATGGACTGCTCTCCAAGTTCGGGGTTCTTTCCCTCCAAAGCGCAGAGGGCGGAACCAATGATGACTGGGGCCGATTCAGGATACCCATACTCAGCGAGAAGTTCGCGGACCTCCATTTCAACGAGTTCTCGAGTTTCGGCATCTGGGACTTCATCGGCCTTGTTGAGGTAAACGGCAATGTTTTCTTGCGGAACACCGACTTGTTTCGCCAACAACAAGTGCTCCCGAGTCTGAAAAATACCAGAATTTAGTTAAATGGAAGGTGACTTATATTGCACTAGACATAAATTCTATTATATTCGGTAATACCGATGTCTATTACGTTTGAAATGCTCCTCTAAACTTCAAAAGCACCACATAACCCTTAAAAGCATACCTGAGGCATAGGTCCATCGGTGACAGCCACCACCAAAATAGCTCCTTCCATCTGAGCAGCGCCGGTGATCATATTCTTGATGTAATCAGCGTGGCCAGGGCAGTCAATGTGAGCATAATGCCTCTTCTCAGTGGTGTACTCCAAATGAGCGGCATTGATGGTAATACCACGCATTTTTTCTTGAGGAGCATTATCAATATCCTCGTATTTCGTGAATTTAGCTCCTTTCTTGGACGCCAAGACTGAAAATCAGGAGAAATTAGGTTCAACAAACAGTCACTAAGTTGTGGTACCTAAAATTCAAGAATAATAGCAAAAAATACCTTTAGTAATAGCCGAAGTTAGAGTTGTTTTACCATGATCAACATGACCAATTGTTCCAACGTTCAAATGAGGTTTATCGCGGCTGAAAACGGCTTTTCCTCCAGGAACGGCGTAGAACCGGATGGTTTGGAGCTTACTTAGCCTCAAGTAGTTATCCAAAGTCTCTGAAAATCGGAAGTTTACATTATCATAGGTCTTAGATAGAGAAATTAAATAAAGCTGTTCAATTTGAAGTGTCTAAACTTATGGAAGCTTCAAAAAGAAGCAAAGGAAGGGTGTAATCTTTCAGTTTCAACCCCACAACTTACTGTTGACTTGGATCGGTGACCGCAGCAGCTTGATCATCTTGGTTTGCCTAAAATAACAAAAATAAGATCCCAAATTTTATGTAAACCTAGTTTCGGATTTTACAACGACAATTTACTCGACAACGTGCGCAAACGTGCAGGAAACTAACCAAAAATCCTAGAGAATAACACGGAACAGAATGCCAAAGTTTGGACATTCTCCCCTGATTTTCGTGCTGGGACGCAGTCGGGCTTAGCATGAGGACACAAAATGATACAGTAGCACGCCACGAAAAACGTAAGGCAAAATTGGAAATAGAGATTTCGAGCTGCGCCCAATATTTCTTGATTTTTTTGATGGAATGAATATTGTGTTAGATAGTATTGTAACTCTGGAATTTGGAACAATTTCGGGATGTATATTATCTTTAAAATTACGTTGCTTTGAGTTTCAAGTGTTGAGTATAATGGATGAGTCCATGGAGCCCGGCACATCGCGCTCTGACCCCAACATTGATTCACCAGGTATGGAAGTGTTTTCAGAAAATGTAAGATTTCTCTTTTTGTGCCCAGTTTATAGATTAATCGCCATGTGGTGTTGTGTGAGACATCCTAGCGGACGTTGGAAAGAAGAAATCGGGAAATTCTATAGTCGAAAAAGGGCACTTGTCGGTTCATTATTGCATCATTTTGCATGGACCGATGGAGAAACGCAAGAAAAGCTGAACCAGAAGAAGAGAATCAACATAAAGCTAGCTGAGAACTTCAGGAAGGTTCCGTTGAATGTAATGGATGAGTCCATGGAGCCCAGCACATCGCGCTCCGACCCCAACATTGATTTACCAGCTATGTAAGTGTCTTCAGAAAATGTAAGATTTCTCTTTTTGTGCCCAGTTTATAGATTAATCGCCATGTGGTGTTGTGTGAGACATCCTAGCGGACGCTGGAAAGAAGAAATCGGGAAATTTTATAGTCGAAAAAGGGCACTTGACGGTTCATTACTACATCGTTCTGCAGGAGCTGATGGTGTCTCCAGAAAAGGTAGGATTTCTCGTTACTAATCCGGTTTAGGTACAAAGGAGCTGATCTGTTTTGTGTGAGACATCCTAGCGGACGTTATAAAGAAGAAATCGGGAAATTTTATAGTCGAAAAAGGGCACTTGTCGGTTCATTACTACATCGTTCTGCAGGAGCTGATGGTGTCTCCAGAAAAGGTAGGATTTCTCTTTTTGCATCCAGATTAGGGATTAATCGCTATGTGGTGTTGTGTAAGACATCTTAGGGGACGTTGTAAAGAAGAAATCGGGAAATTTTATAGTCGAAAAAGGGCACTTGTCGGTTCATTATTGTATCATTTTGCAGGAGCTGACGGATAAACGCAAGAAAGGACTGGAGAAGGCGTGAGCAAAGCTGGATCAGAGGAAGCAGACGACGTTTAGAACATTTCAAGTTAAGTTTGTGACGTTGCCTTTTTGATTTTTTGTTTTTAGGCCATTGAGCCAATAATTTTCTCTGGTTATACCTAAAATAATATAATTGATATTTCAGCCGGTCCATGTTGAAGTAGAATGTGAAACCCAGCATAATGTACCAATGGGTGTGGAGATTGAATTCCGAGTTCAGATTGTATCCGACAAATCGATGGATTGTCGAAAATTTATGTAATTTTAATTATTCTTATTGGTTTGATGTTTAGGTGGAAATAAAGAAGATTTGATGAATTTCAATTTAGTAGTGGTCTGTTGTAGCAGGATCAACGCCCTGCTACTCTTGTAAAAATCGGAAGAGCTTGAATTCGGTCAGATTCATCGATTTTGATCCAATTTTGCCTAGTACAATATAATTCCTTTCTCTTCTTCGATCAATCTAAGAAGTTCGGGGTGCACCTCCTAGATGCCTTTCGATGCTTTCTCGCCGGTTTCACACGTAAATTGTTGTTTATTAGAATTTTGGAATCATTTTTGTTATTTATTTGTAAAGGTTTCAGCGTATGAAATGTCGAAAACATTTTCCCGCGAATTTCTCTATTTCCACTTTTTTCGTGGCGTGCAGTAGTAATAAAAAAGCTTTATTAACCAGTTATTACGATTATTAGCAGCACATATTATCCTCTTTTCGACTTTCCGAAGCCATGATTACTCTGTCTTGGTTGAATATATGGGCTGTCGTTGCGATAGGGGCATGGGCAATATCTGAAAGTGAAAAAAGTGATGCAATTGGTCGAAATCATCAAGGTAGAAGCTAATTAGGGTGTCCTTACCCCTTGTCGATTCCTGGTTCCCCGACTGTCCCCGTCGGTCCAGGTTCACCTTGATCTCCAGTCCAGCCATCTTCTCCTGGCAGGCCTGGTGGCCCAGGCACTCCAAAGACCAAGCCCGGCTTGCCCAGCGCTCCCATCAGTCCTGGAAGTCCTTGAGGCCCTGGAGGGCCGGCTGGACCGGGAGCACCGACTCCCGTAAACCAATCAAGACCGGGCGCTCCCCTTTCTCCTTGCAAACCTTGCGCCCCGACTTCGCCTGGCTCTCCAGGCATCCCGCTGCAGTCTGATTGTTTGCCGGCCGCTCCAATCTCTCCTGCCAGCCCTTTTGAGCCTGCATAACCCTGATTTCCGGGTGCGCCGGGAGCGCCAACCGGGCCAGGAGGGCCTTGAGGGCATATCTGACAAGGGGTTTCAAGCCGCTCGAAAATAGCGTCAGCTCCGGGCGCTCCATCGGCTCCAGCGCCACCCTCAGGTCCGTTGAGACCATCCTGACCTGGTGGGCCAGGTGGGCCCATACAATTTGTCACATAGCCAGAACTTTTTGTGTATGAAGGCATTGGCGGCGGTGGGGGATAAAAAATTGGGGGATCTGGAGGGCGGTAGGTTGGAGCGGGATTATTGAGATGCTGGCTGTAGAAATCAAAAGTTTGACGAGCTTTCTCACTCATAAAAGAGCCAACAGATAAGGGCAAAAGAGGGCGGAGCATGGGTTTCACTGTGACTCGGACCAAAGGACGTTGGGTTACGGTAGTTCGGTCGGCTGAAAACGATGACATTTCACTTTCAAAAATTATAGTCAAGTTGTAAAATACGTCATTTCCGCCTTTCGCGACTTTTTCCAAATTTATGAAATTTAAAAAAAATTAAAATTTCTAAAAATCAACTCACAATATTCGAAGTTCTCGGTCGTCCCACTGCTTTTCTTATATGTCGTCGTATCTTCTAAATTTTCATCAAAATCAAAAGTGGAATCATTTGGAACAAATCGGTCCGAAGGCGTTGGATGCTTTCGAATTTCGATTCGATGAAATGGAAAGGGAATAAACCCCTGGTGCAAGGGAAGAACGGGAATTATTGGTACTGAAAATTAATCAAAATTAAAAGGTTTTAAAATATGAATTCGAATGGTTTTATATTCTTACTGGTGGTATGATTGGTGTAAACATGATCTCTCCGCAATCGCCATTGCTTCTGAACTCGATTCAATTCCAGCCAAAGGGCGTTTGTTTGGTGCTAAAAAGGGGAAAGTAAAACAAGAAAAAAATAAAAAAAAAATTATAATAAAATAAAAAAGATTGAAATAAAAAATGACTGAAATTTTTCAAGAACTCACTTTAAAATGATTGGCATGTGAATTGACGTAATCATGAGTTTTGTGAAACCTCGATAAAGCTGCTGGCATCATCACGGCCACTGTAAACACTCCAACAAGACTGAATCCAACTGACAAAGCGGCAAAACATGGGACTAGCCAGTCTGAAAGAGGGCATAGAAATTTTAATTCAAACTTTTTTTCGGATTTTTTTGCAAAAAAATTAAAAAATCAAACAAAAATTTAAAAAGCAATGAAAAAAATTATTTTTGAAAATTATTATTAAATCTTGTTTAAATCATTATATTTTTCATAAAAAAAAACTCACAAAAAGTCTGATCATTCTGTTCACCCGCCGGCAATGTGGCCGTACTCTCCGATTTCTGGCCATCCAAATTGGGCGTTACATAATAACGGTACATAAAAGGGCCCGGCATTCAAACAAAAAAAAACAGTTGTAACGAAGAATAATATGTTACAGAATAAAAGAATTAATAAAAGGAGATGTTTTTGGTTCTTCTTTGGTTCAAAAATCCCGTTGACGGTCAAGTGCCTTATAAGGGTGTTTCGAAGAAGAAGATTTTAATGACCGAGGTCTTCTTGAGGTACGAAGATGCTCTGAATCATGTAGTTGTCAATTGCCAAGCTTCGTATTTTTTTGATTTTGCTCATATCAGTCAAAAAATAAAAACAAATTTGAATAATCAAAAAAAAAAATTAAATTATTTTTGGGTAAAATACGTTGTGCAGTAATGCGCACGATTTTTTACAAAGTCTGATTTTTTTGAATGCAAATTCTAACATTTAAATCGAAAAATGAAATTATAAAAATTGTAAAATACGAGCGTAAATAAAATCTCTCTTTTCAGTAAATAAAAAAATTATAAAAAGAAGACTGCCTCATGCTGGAATCGAACCAGCGACCTTCTGTTTACTAGACAGACGCTCTGCCCCTGAGCCAATGAGGCTTACATGAACGGGATTTTAATCCATTTTTTATTAGATTTAGACTCTGTTTGCCTATCTACAGCTTACAAAGACCTTACAAACAAATGGTTCTCTGTCTTACTGGCTCTCTTCATTTTCCACAGTCTCTCGTTTGCAAAGATGTTTGAACATCCCCGCTGCGCTTTTAGACAAGAATCCAAAGTTTTTAATGATTAATTTGGCCTACGTGTTTTATCTCAAAAGTCAAAGAAAATCGAAAATGAAAAAAAAATATTCGGAAAATAAGGCAAAATACGGAAGCACGGTTTCTTCCTTGATAAAAATCATCTTTCTGATTTTTACGAAGTGATCAAATTTTAAACCTCGAATTGATATTTATTTTTTTTTTCATTTTTATACATTATATTACAATTTACAATACAAATAATATTTTTCAAAATCCCAAAGTTCTCGTTGCTAGGTGACAAAATTTTGCGCAATTTTATTTTACCTGGCCAAAAAACCAAAAAATTTCCTTTCCTCTCCGAAGATGGCATTTGTGGACATTTTTGAAAAAGGAATTGAGGCTCTGAAGAAGCAAAAAGAAGAGTCAGCTCAAGAAAAAGGTATTTTAGAAGTTTTAAAATCAAATTGGCATGTTCTTCTTGATTTTTAGACAGGTTTAAAGATGAATTCAACAAAATCCGGACGATTTTTGTCTGTGGAATGGCAAAATCGGTGAGTTTAAAAAAAAAGAATTAAAAACTGTATTATTTTTTATTATTTCAGGGAAAAACCTCATTTATTAATCGATATTTCGATCGAAATGAGAATTCCGAGCCAACTTTTGGACTTTCCTACAGATTTGCCACTAAAACGAGGGTCAATGTAAGTGAAATAGTGGTATAAAGATGTCAAATAACAAGTAAATAAAAATAATTTCAGTAGTTCTCGCCGTATTTTACCCTATCCTTTTTTCATATTCTTTTTGCTCACTCACAGTTAGTCATTTGAGAGCGGCGAGCGCCGTGCCTCATTGGCTCAGGGGCAGAGCGTCTGTCTAGTAAACAGAAGGTCGCTGGTTCGATTCCAGCATGAGGCAGTCTTGTTTTTTGACTATGAAAATAAAATTTGAGAAATATATAAGTGATTATTCCGTATTTTACCATGCGTTTCGATTTAATTTAGGATTTTTTAAGGGTTTTTGCAAAACCTTGGCTTTTCAAAATTCTTTTTTTCCAGCCTGAGGCGGTCTTCTTTTTTATTTCTTACGATTTTTTTCAAATGACACAGTATAAAATGTTACATAGCCATTTTTTTTTGATTTTTTGTCAAAAAAAATTGCTTCAGACCAAAGAGCTCGTCGAGTTCTGGGAGCTCGGAAATTCAGCATTGCTCTCATCCCTGACGTCAGTTTGTATTACCGAAAAAAATATTTCCGGCCTTTCAACAATTATTTTCATCGACCCTACGATCCCTCAAAACATCGAAGCAGTAATTGCCCCATTACTCACCAGTATTCGAGATCAAGTTGCGAAAATCAAAGGTGAAAAGCCGAAATTTGATATGAGCAAATCAATTTTCTATATTGGAATACCATGTGTTATGGTGATTGGAAGATACGATGAATTTCAGGTGGGGTTTTAGGAAGTTCATATTTTGAAAATCTTAAAATTTTTTTAGAATTTTGACACCGAAAGGAAGCGGACTATTTTAAAGCTTCTGCGTTTTTTGGCACATGTCAATGGAGCTACGCTAATGGTAAGTAGAGGTTTCAAAAAATGAAAAAATGAAATTTTTCAAAAATTATTGCTAGAATTTGGCCGAAAAAATCGCAAAGACCTTCTTCAAATTTTTCAAATCTTATCTGTCTAGGCTGTGTGCAAAATTTAACGAAAATTAGGGCTATTGGCCTCGGGCAATATAATTTTTTTTTTAATTTTCAAAAATTTATTTTTTTTTATCGAAATGTTGCTCTGAAAATTTGCCAGCAACGCCTAGGCTGTATAAATAATTTAACGAAAATTAGGTATATTGGCCTCGGGCAATATAAAAAAAAATTTTATTTTCAAAAATTTATTTTTTTTTCATCAAAATGTTGCTCTGAAAATTTAACCACAATAAAAATACAACCCGTATTTTACCTCAAAATTTCCAGAGCTACAGTATTTACCAAGAAATTTTGGTTGGTCGCGGCAAAAGTTTGGCTGGAAATCTGGGATTCGACACTGCTTTTAACGTCCAAAACTCCACAGATATCCTCAAACCAGTCTTCGTGGAGGCCGGTTCGGACAGTATTGAGGTCAGTCTACCTTTATCTTACATCATCTATCAAATTTTTGACTTTCAGGACATTGGCGACCTTATCAATGGCCGTCAGAGAGCAACTTTTGATTCAATTCGTGATGCTATGGATTTCTTTCTGCAATCGCTGAATGAGCACTTCAAACAGGAGGTAGGAGAGACTATTTACAATATTTTCCGGCAATTCAAGTCATAAAATTTATCTTTTTTAGCCCTTGGAACAGCCTGTAAGCCTATTAGACTCTAACAATGACGAAGAAACTCGAAAATTTAACGAGCCCTTGCTTGACACTGCTATTGAAGAGCGATTTCGAGTAAGTCGAGTAATATTTTTCATTTTTTCCTCAATTTTTTACATTAAATTTTTTTTTAATTCCTGCTACAGTATAATTTTTATTTCAGGAAATGGAATTTCTCTCCAAGGAAATGTCCCGAGCCTGAAATGATTGTTATTCCCATGCTTTCAACAAAAATTTCATACTTACAATGTATTTATAGCATTGTAAAATACAATTTAGAGTCAAATTTGGAATAAAAATTATCCCTTTTCTTTTATTCACTCCATTCGTCAGCCCTCTTCTTTTGGGAGGCCAAAAAAGACGCCTTTCGCCGTGAGCCTCCTTAGCTCAGCGGTAGAGCGTTGGACTTTTAATCCAACGGTCAGGGGTTCGATCCCCCTAGGTGGCTTGATGACTTTTTTCCATTTGTTTTTACAAAATTCGGCTTCAATTTACAAAACAGAACGGCTGGCACCAAACATGGCGTATTTTACCATTCCACCCCTTAATTTTTTCTTCAAAAACAGACATTTTACCTTTGATATCTACTACAATGTAAAAATATATTATGGATTTCCAAAATTCATGAGATACAAAGATTGATTTATTCCGTTATTTCTCCTCAAATACAATTACAAATATGAAAACAAAAATTGCGAAATGGAAAATCAAGTTCTGTATACAATTGGATATCGACGTGGAATATATTAGTTTATGTCACTATATGGTGCAATAAAATTACAATATCAGTTGAATAATGGACTGGGATTCGACCAGAAACGACGAGCTTAGTTGCTGAAAATGCTGCGATTAGAAACGGAGATAAATTTTTAGATCCCAAAAGATTAAAGTCAAGTATAAGGTGAAAAAGTTAATTTGCTGAAGGGATAATGCAATAGACCTTGTAAAAATGCAAATACTAGATAAAAATAAGACCCAAAGGTTCCAAAAAAAATAAAAAACAATCAGAAAAAATAAAAATTTTATCTAAGCCAAGCTAAAGTAATATATTAAAAGGCTGAAATTGCACATTAAAAACCAAAGAAAAAGACCAGAAACTTCGGAAATTTCTCAAAACTAAATCTCCATCCAAAACAAGCCCTCAAACTACAGCAGCCAGCATACTGTAACTCGAATTCTTACATTCGATCGCACCGTGCACGACGAACAGAGAAAAGCTCGATTTAACGGACATTTACATCGACCGCAGTCTGACAACGAGTATGTTAGGCTTGTTAAGTAAAAGTAGTAATAGACGGATGTCATGGAATGTGTTCGGGACAAGGCCGCGAATTCCATTTTTAATCATCTCTAGAAATGAAAAAAATGAAAAAATCTTGAATCTTGATCAAAAACATACGAAGACAACACAATTCGTAAATATATAATTTCATTTTACAACATTTGAGAGACAATAAATCTAAAAAATTATTTATTTCAAGAAAAAATTATATTACACATGACAAGTGTAATATAAATTTTTCTAAAAATCAAATCAAATCTGATTTTGAAACACTCTACGTACTCCCTTCTTTCAAAAAATACATCTAATTCTTAAGTTCCAGCCGTTTAAATCTCTTCAAAAATTGTCATGTATAATATAAACGTCGATTTTTTCGCTAAACTAAACCTAAAACTTTTTTTACAATTCCCTTTATACTACTTCTAACCCCCTTTCTTCACCAACTACATCAAATTCAAACCTACTTTGAGCCACCGATCAACTGAAGCAACATCCAGAAGATGTAAACAATATCCAAAAACACCTGAATGGCGGCGAAGACATGGTCCTCGGGGCTGATTTCCAGCTTCCTTCCGCCCATGATCATCTGAATATCGATGGCCAAGTAGACCATGAATAAAAGCGCGGCCAGCCCAGCGTAGATCGTGTACATCCACTGGACGTGGAAGAAGGCGACCGAGATGATGGCGACCAGTCCGAAGACCATCAAAACCATCGAGGCGATCGCGACAAAGCCCATCATCGAAGTCAGATCGTGTTTCGTTTGCATCGAGAACAAAATAATTCCACCGCAACAAACGGAAGTGATCACGAGACAGAGCAGGACCGGGACCAAGTCCTTGGTGGCGGCCAGCATCATGGTCATGTAGCCGATGGCAAGGGTCTAAAATACGAATTTCAGTCAAAGATACCATCAATTTCCCGCAATAACCTCAATTTTTACATATTTTTCAAAAATGGACCTACTACTATAAGATCGCTTATAAAAATTTTTCCAATGCCTTACCAAAACTGCGGTACAGATCAAGTTGGCTGGGAAGGAGCGACGGACCGACTCGCAGCACATCAAGGCAATGTACACCACCAAAAAGACGAAACTAAAATCAGAAACATCTACTACAATATAACTGATAACTTACTAACTGGTCAAATAGAGTCCCGGCGATTGTTTGATGAACAATTTGGTGTCCTCATGGATGAATGGGATGGCAGTCATCACCGCGACCACGGCCAACTAAATTCAGAAAATCAATTATATTAACCATGACCTACCATAATTCCGACCATAACGAACACTTTCCGGACGAAGGCGGCGCGAATGGTCTGATCGTTGAAGTTGACGTCCATCTTGGGGCCTTCACCGCTTTCGGCATAGTTGGGGTTGTGGGAGAACACTGGAACCGACTGATATTGGCCACCGGCATCTACACCCCGCAAAAACAACAGTCAGAAAAGTCAGTTAATGTCCGGGCTTTGAAGGGTTAGGCGACAAAGGAGATGGGCAAAGCAAAAAGGGAAGTGATTTGCATTTTTAAGGTCAAATTTGAAAGGTTAAAAAAGGATGGGTAATGTAAGTAAAAGCAGGCGTAAAGGGGGCAAAACTAAAGTCAAAGCCAAGACATTGGACTGAACAGACTATACGGAGGTTGTCTGAGGTGTGCCATTAAATTTCGGCGTTAAATCAAAGAAAAAATTATATTACTTTAGGCAAAAAAAAGATAAATTCCTTCAAAAATTTCAAAATTCTCTCGATTTCCAACCGTTTTAAACTAAAAATTACAGATAATGTTCCAATTTATCTGTCCGAACCATCCATTGTTTTAATTTTACTATCAAGGCACCTCTAGACATCGACTTCCGTATATTCACCATGACCGGACTGATGGACAACATAAAAACCAAGCACAAAAAACAAAATAGACTACTTACATGGTGGAGGAACGGGGTTGAATCCCTGTTGCTGCTGTTGCTGTCCACCGGCGTTCCAGCCATATTGGGGATTCTGTTGTTGCGGGTTGAATCCGTAGGGTTGGCCTTGATTATACGCCATTTTTTCGGGTGAATATCACTTGCAAGAGTTGTAAATTTGAAGAATACGATCTAAAACTACTCCACGTTCATTCTGAAGACGGTTTGGCCACGAAGTTCGCGAATACAAAACCAAACTTTATATTACACTAAACATCAAAAATAAAACTCTCAAAAGAAAGTGAAACCCCCTTTTGAAGTATTGTAAAAATTGTATACAAAGTTATGAAATACCCCCGAAAACATGTGACAAACAACAATTTTCTTGTTCTAGTGCAAAAACATTATTTTACACAACTTTTCTCGAAACCCCCGGCCATGGATAATATAGGCGGCCAAATTGCGTGGAAAACAATAGGACACGACCGACTTTTGTCGTGTGTTCTCGAAATCACCTCCGAATGTTATGATTCAAACAAAAATTGGGGAATTTCGACAGCAAACGGACGGACAAAGAGGGTTTGGAAAGGGGGACATAAAATAAGGTCGGAATCGCTGAAACCATAATAAATATTGTGATAATTTGATTATAACCATCAATCATGGGGGACCTACGCAATTTTGGTCGATTGATAAAAAAAACTGTCGAATTTGGGCAAATTTATCAGTAGTTTTCGTGGTGGGACTCGGTCTGATGCCTAGTGCAATATAAAATTAGAATTTTCCAGCGATTTTCGGATATAAATTAGAGAGCAAAATTCCCGCAGGGAAAAGAAACTTCCAGAAAACCCCATTAGCTCCCTCTTTTGCGAGCTTTCTACATCTCTGATGTCTAGTGTAATATAAAAAAGGGGAAATTTTCTGGAAAACCCCAGAAAATTGTTGTAAAAACCAGCTGCACGAGTGCCCTATATCTGCGAATAAACAAAAAGCGACGGGAAAACTGGAGCAAACACCAGAATAACGCGCTTTCCCACCTCTGTCGGCCTCTTCGTTTGTGGTGCTCTCTGAAAGAGATGAAGAAATGAACAGCGGCCACGTTCAGAAACATATTTATGCCTTACTGAGGGCTTTTTAGGTAACAAATGGAGTGTCACCACTCGTTTTGGCCATTTTTTCAAGTTTCACAATATTCTTGCGGTTTTTGTACATGAACTTTCAAAGTTGTGATGAAAATAGAGAGATTATTGCCTGAGGGGAACTAACACTTCATAATATTTTCGATACTATAGATTTAAAATGTAATTACAGCAGCTTTCAAGTTCCACAAAATTGCCGAAAGTTCTTGAATATTTCGTAAGCTTTTTTAGCCTACAATTTATCCACAAAGTTTCCTAAAACTCTTTATCTTCCAAACCAGCAAAAAACATTTCGATTTGTCAAAGACAGGTATAAACAATCAAAAAATAGAACAGAGGGAGCTTCTGGATGATAGTGGAGGTCTCTTTCAAGTTATTTTTTCCAAGGTCGATCTTTTCCTCGGAAGTTTTTTGGGGAGAAACGTGAAAAAGAGAAAGAAACAACGATGAATCATCGTTTTCAAGTAGTATAAGGAAGAAAACGTTGAAAAAAGTTGAAAGTAAACGTCGACTATGGGCGTCATACGCTTATTTTTCCACAATGAATTGTAAAAAATTGAAAAATGTAAAAAATTTTCGAAAAATTTCAAAAAGTTATTTTTCATTTTTACAGAATGAATGGTTTAGAGGTGTAAAATAGGCTCTAAATAGTAGTTTGGGAAGGTTTGGCGAGATTTGATTTGGAATGACGCACAAAAATTAAGCTTATTAATCATCTTAGTCATCATGAACAAGATGATGGTGAAATGAAGTCGCTTTTTGTTTGAAACAGCTAATATTACGGTGAAAATCATCTATGTGTATTTTACATTGCCTCGGGATTATTTTTTTTAGGAAGAAATGCAAAGAAGACAATTTTTTACCTTATTTAGGCAAAAAATTAAATAAAAAAATCACTTTTCCCTCTCTAAAATCCCTCAGGCTATAAACATAAAACTAAATGGCCAAAGCCAATTTCGCTTTCCTCTATATCCCATTTTCGGTTTCGCAAGTCCAATTGTGACGCAAAATAAGCAAATTTCGCAAATTCTGACGCAAATTTCGTAAACAAGCCGCGAGGCGAAAGAAATGGAAGAGAAAGTTCGCAAACAGGTGAAGGGAACGCCTCAGGCATGGACATGTTCTTTAAATGGGAATAAAAGATTTATGGGGGCCAGTGGCGGCTACAATTTTAAAACCTTAAGAGAGACATGTGTTCGACATGTATAATATAATTTTATCGTGAAACGGATAGCCAGAGAATAAAAGGGCTGAGAGTAATTGGAAGAGTGGGATATTTATGGATAACGTAAATAATTTTGGGCTGAAATTATGTCATTTTGGATAAGAAACTACAGATTTCCCAAAAAAGTCATCATTTTGACCTCAAGTTGAAAAAAAGGTCAATACTCGAAGCTTGGCCCTCGGATTTCTTTCAAATTCGGTACATATACTCCCCACAGAAGACATTTTTAGCCGCTAAATTTTCAGCTCGAAGTGGGCAATTACAGCCAAGATATTCAGCGATCTTTGCAGACAAGAGACCATGGAAAATTAGGAGAGACGGTCAGAGGGAAAGCCTTTTTTCGCTGTACCGTTTTGAATTTCTCATAAGAAAAATCGATTTTCTATCAAAATAAGAAGGACCACACTTCTAGGACAACATAAATTTTTCAAATCGGCAATCTCAAAAAAAGAGGCAGGCTTTCAAAGTTCTTCGGTAAAAGTCTAGATGATTACTATACAAAAGTCCACGAGATGTCGCAAAATTCTTCGAAATCAGACGTCGATGACATGTCTCGCCACAGCAAAGAAGCATGTTTGCACGCACCGCAAATAAACGTATTTTTCTCCTAATCAGCCCTCCAAATAAGGCAAATATTGATCTACACCTTTCTTATCTTTGCAATGCCTAAAGGTCAAGGATCTAAAAGTGCGTAACCTTGATTTTTTCGCAAAAAAAATCATCCTTAAACTCAAAAAATCTCGATCTAAATCTTTGCAAATATCAATTCCTTCCTTTCCCTTTCAGAACAGCCATTTCAAATATACGTGCATCCCTCAATAATGAATACAAAATGCAAAAAACAAGTCCCTTTAGCAGGCCTTTCAATGCCTCCGCTCTTATCAACGGAATGGTCCATGGACCGGCATTTAAGTGATACCAAAACGTTGTTTGTGAGAGATGATACGTACTACATTCAGAATAGGGTTATGAAATCTTCACTCCTCCCATTTATTCGCTCTTCGCGTGAGGGAAAAGAATTGCCCGCAAACTTCTGGAAAATGCGAGAAACGAAAAGTTGAGTAAAATGGGATTAGCTGATGTTAATCGGGACTTTAAAGAGCAATGCGTTAAGGAAGTTTGTGCAGTAATTGGAATTTTAAAATACGGGTAATGCTCTCTTGTATTGTTGTAAATGTAAATTTTAAATAAAGAATGATCCAACAGTCTCTCTACAATAGCTCTACAAAGAACAATATATTTTAAAATACGATTTTTGAAATTTTGCTGAATCAAAGGATTCTAAAAGTTGCATAATAAAAAAAATTACTATTAGTTGACTATAAGACAGAACAGACCAAATTACAACGGAACCTCTGTACAACGAACTTCCGTACAACAAAACCTGGCAGTAACAAATGGTGTCGGACATGATTAAAATTAATTTGTGGCTAAAGTAAAGCTTCAAACAATGCTTCTATACAACGAATAAATTTTTTGAACATTTGCGATTCGAGTCAGTAGACAGAGGTTTGACCGTACTCTAACTGAAAAATAGTCTAATCGAAAAAAATAAATTAAATTAAAATTATTTTGGGTAAAATACGTTATGAAAAGATCGCAATTAATTTTTTTGCTAATTTTGACTTTTTTGAATATAAATTTTAGCACTGAAATCAAAAAAAACTTGTAAACATTGTAAAATAAGTACACTATTCCTGATAAAAAGAAGACTGCCTCATGCTGGAATCGAACCAGCGACCTTCTGTTTACTAGACAGACGCTCTGCCCCTGAGCCAATGAGGCACTGCCCTCAGGGCTTTATGATTTGATTGACTTGTGAAAAAGAGCAAGCCACTTATATATATATATATAAATATGTTGTAAAATACGGACTCTTTTAGTGGGGTAATCGAATCTTTTTTTGTAAACTTTTGCGGGAAAAATTGGATGGCTTTTAGCAATTTCAGGCCTTCCACAAGAAACCATTTTTAAGTCGAATTTAAGCGGGTGTAGGGCAACCTAATATGCCAGATGTTTTGTAGTAAACACCTACAGACAATATGGATCATGAGTTGTAATACAATAGCTTCCACTTCAAAGCGTACCAACAAAAAGTCTTTGTTCTTTCGCAGCCTTCAATACCCCCATTCTTCCCTAACTTTTTCTAATTTTTACCAACCCATATACATACACTGCCATTGAAAGTTCACAGACCCCATTTTCACCTGACCGACATCTAAATGTTAGGTTGCCAAATGACATCCCCATTTCTCCATCAGTATTCATTTTGGACGACCTAACATTTTGATGTCAACAAGAACAATGATAGGAAAATAAAGATGATGCGATAGTATCATACAATCATGTCCGACAACGACATCCCTTCAATGGGGCGCGCTAAACATGGAAATCACGCTAATTGAGGGCTCAAATTAAATATTTAAGCATGGGAAAGTGGAATTGGAAATGGTGCATGGAATGGCCGATGGGATTACGGATGGCGGCTGATTTCATATTAACGAAGGTGTCGGTGGAGGAGGATTTGGTTGGGCAAATAAGTGGGGCAAGGGGGGACAGAAAGCGATCTTTTTACTATGTAAAATGACTAAGGAATAAGGGGTGAGAAAACTGTTGAAAAAGAAATTAAAACAAGAAATTTGCCCATCAAAAATTCGCCTCGGGTCAACACTAAATATGTTTAATCGATGTGTACTAGCCGAAAATCTGGCTGAAATTTAGTCAGGGTTCATTGAAGGCTAAGAAAATAATCAATTTTTTGTATAATAAATCATCTTCAGCTATAGCTTGCCTTATTTCTTTAGACTAGGGGAATTATTCAAAAATTGGACATGAACTTTAAAGATCGATATTTTTGGTTAATTTAGGTCTAATTACTAGGCGATAACTTCAGCATGTTAAATAAAATCTCCTAGATTTTTGTTTATGTAGAACGCTATCGAACGTTCGCTATGTATCACAGTGTCTTGCCAATAAACAATTCGAAAAATTCAGGCTGACAAGAGAAAATTTAGAAAGTGCCAGTCAAAATATTACGGTCTTAATTACAGGGAAGTCTGAGCTTATTTTTACCGCCTTTATCCCTTTGTACATATGTAGCAGTTTGTCGGAAAAATAATGAGCGCAAGGCGTTGCAATGTCCAAAATCGCATAGCTCGCCGAGAAAAAGAATTGTGTCGAGGCAAAATCAAATTGCTTTTCACTTCAGCGACGCGGTTGGCGCAACTGCATTGAGCTCATTATTTTCCCAACAGAATGATAGTAAGATAATTTGTAACAGATAGGCACCCCAAACATACTGCCTGTGACAATCTGAAGCCCAAAAACCAGACTGGAAAAAGTAGCACTCACTTTTATTCCACATTTTCACCTGTGAAGTCATCAGTTTCCCAAGATGTAAAGCATTGCGCAACACTTTGCTCTTTGATTACTCTGGCTAGTAAATCGTATATTTCACAATGGTGTAACAACAAAAATTTTGCGTTCTTTGACTTGACATCAAATATGCTTGTTGAAAAGGATTTAATTAGGAAAGAGTCAATCGCCATGGAAACAAACTTAATTTGGAATGGATGTGAGATTGTGGAGTAATTAATCGAGTTACGCTCTTCGGAAATTTGTCTCTTATAAGCACTCAAATTTTACATTTCTTTGAAATTTTGAAAAGTTTCAACAAAATTACAGTCATTAATTTCTCCTAGGCTTTTTTCGGCTCTTCTCTAGTTTACAACTTTGCTACTGCAATAACTTTGAATAAATCTCTCCCCAAATGAATCCAGAGAATGTAGGAACTACATAAATCACTATTAAGCTTCATACCGGCATCCAAACAATTATGGTTCAGCTGCGACAGACATGAAATGTCATCAAGAACAATTGCATCAAACTACGTTAACTAATACTAGTAATTCGGGGTAAATACAATGCCAAACAATGAGTGGTTCAAATCTAAGCGATACAAGTTGTTGAAGGATGTTTGGTTGAAGGACTAGTGCATTTACAATTGTCATCATATGGTATTTTTGACGCCACTTATAAAGTGCGTGATTATGTATACAGTCAGTCATTTTGTAATATATTATAGCATAGTATATTGGTATTTAAAAGGGGTTAATGCTATATAGGTGATTGCAATTTTTACGGCTTTGGAAGGATAGTTTCCAAAAAATTCTTTCTTTTTTTCGGTTGTCCTAGTAAAAACGGTAAAAAATTTACTGTGACATTTTAGATTGTGAATTAATTGTTATTGCACTTTTAACAGTTTGAAAAGTTTTATGACATTTTGTTTCGCGAGATGTAAAACAGGCTCGATTCAAAAGTACAGTGTATGATTATTGTGTATTATTAGTGTATTGCTGACAATTTTTATTCCGGTGTAACGCGTGAAATTTGCTGTCCGAGGGGTAAAACGGGGAGTTGAGGCGATGGGCGCCAAGAAATGGACGAAACGCACAGTGAAAATTTAAACTAGTAGCTGTCGTCCCGGGCCATACTATAATCCGTTGCATTGGCCCTAGATTTATTGTTCAAGACCGCTTCATTCCACTAATAAGGGAAGTACCCCCATGTGGAACCCTCAGATTTTCTTTAAATTTTGCGCATACGTCGGTCATGAAGTAAGTCTCAATTCCTGAATGTTTTAGCTCGCGCTTTGTAAGCACCGCCGAGATATTGAACGATCTTTGCCGCCGAGAGAGTACGCTAAACGCGGAGAGTGGTCAGAGAGAAAAAACACTTTTTGAACATAACTTTGGCAGTTTCGTGCGAAAAAAATTGATTTTTTGTGGAAACAATACCTCTATGGTAGAAATAGACATGAAACTTTTTGTGCCAAAACTCGGCAAGAAGTGCCAAATTTTCGCCAACTTTCGATCCAAAAAATCTCGGTTGTTTTTGCAAAGCGCGAGCTAGGATTTTCGCATATATTTTAGAAAAAATTATTCTAAATTTGTGTCATGTTTCATCAAAATCTGAGCCTCGCACTTGGGGTGCTTCCCCCTGCAAGTAGATTGCTGTCATCACGAAAATTTTGTTGCAAAGAAAAAAGTTTTCCCAAGAGGTTTATTGTTTTTTGGATAGCAGATTTCAGATTGCCATTTAAAGTTAGCTCCTTTACCGTTAATGTGGTGTTTGCCTTTCAACTCGGTAACTGTCTTTAAAGTCACGTTTTTATGTAAAACAGGTCCTTTTCTCATCCTAAGAATCCACTCGTCGGCATACGTTATCTTGTTTACTTTATGCCCAATTACTCTCTAGAGAACATACCAACAACTGTCACATCTATGACATGGATGATGTTTACAATATTCTGAACGTGCATAAATTATATATATAACCTAGAGACGACACACTTTGTCCACACTTTTTTTATGCATTAGAAACTGTTTATAACCTTCTAGTTTACTGTAGAATTCACAGAATTCCCCGGAAAGTGCCTATTACCCGAGATAATTGTGACCCACCACTGCTTCTTCAAGTTGCGTACGAACTAAAAAACTGTACAAGAATAGTTTGCCGATTGCAGGTGCTTCCAAATTGCAGGTTCGGATTCAAGTTGTACTCTCACCCCACCCTTCCAAATCACCATAATTATTCAGCCCTGCGGCCCAGCAATTACCTTGGCGATGTGACCCAAATGAAAGGGTTTCGGCCAGATAATGCCGGGCAATGTAACCTCGGGCCACTCGTAATTATAAGCCAGATCTCGGCCTGGCCTCGCTTCTGTCGCGTTTTCACATTTACGCCGCTGCTATATAATGTGAAGAGGGCTTGGCTATAATCACGTTTACTATTGGCTGGGTACAAGTGGGATGTTCGAGGTTGTACTGTTTGTTTTGTACGTTGTTAGAAGGGTCAAATCGGAGATCTTGTTAGGAAACTAGCGATCTGCTGACGCTTGGTTTAGAGGATTAACTGTATGGTCTTGTAAGGCCAGTACAGTGGGGGACCTGATTCAGTGGCAAGAAACGTACGATTTTGCATCCTGGAAGCATCAAAAAATGTGGCAAAATACCTCTCTCTGCAAGTGAAAAAACTCGCATTTCAAAAGCGCGCCCGCTTTCTTGTGAGGGAAAGGGCGCACTCTTCAAAACGAACGGTTTTTTCACTTGGAGAGGGAAGCATTTTGCCACATTTTTGATACTTCCCGGATGCAAAATGGTACGTTTTTGGCCACTGGATCAGGTCCCCCACTGTATATACAGTAATTAAAAAAGTGGCTCATGCTGAACCAGCGACTTGTGTACTATGCTAAAGATTATCTTTTAATCCTACATTTGTTTAGTCTTATGCTTACTTAGGCGCTATTATTGTCAACATATATCTAAAAAGGCTTTAATCGCATTCTGACTTGTAGCGTACACATCTATATTCATTTTGTACAAAAGTTCTTTTCTCAATTACCATGTTAGGTTAGGCATTACAATGTAGTGTAGACAGTGTTCCATACAACTTCGACACACATCTCTGAGCCATCCCTCGGATAATAGCACTACAAATCGTATATGCCAAATCTACTTGAGCTAAAATGTAAACTAGCCACTCGACCAGCCCTTAGACTACCCTTTAATCCTCAAAAGCAACGTGCTCCACAAGTGGTTTACAATGTCTAAACGTGTATTCGAATTGTTTATCCTTGATAATTGTACTCCTATATTTAGAATGACAGAGAGGCCGTCGACAACAGCAGAGTCCACGGTCGACAGAGAACCGTTGCCCTCAATCTGCGTCACTCAAGAGCCCATTTCTCAGGTCTCAAAGTCCGTGAACATGCAGCCTCTACGGTTGTCTGTATCGGATGCTTGGAAGAGCCATGTATCTTCGATCCCACCGTTGCCATCATATGGCGAGGATTCTATTCGAGTGGAGGAGCGTTTTACGGCCACAACAAAAGCGAACTCACCATTCTTTTGCAATGAAACTATGTCGCAAACGATCCCTGGCTTTAGTGGTATGGCAAGCAAGGACGGTAGGAAGATTCAAACTTTTTTATCCAGTCTGAAAAAACGTACCACTTTGCATCCGGGAAGTATCAGAAAGGTGGCAAAATGCTTCCCTCTCCAAGCGAAAAAGCTCCGATTTCAAAAGCGCGCCTACTCTTTTTGTAAGGGAAAAGGCGAAGTTTTTTTACTTGGAGAGGGAAGCATTTTGCCACATTTTTGATGCTTCCCGAGTGCAAAATGGTACGTTTTTTTGCCAATGGATCAGGTCCCTCGGAAAACTTCGTATGTGCTTTGTTGTATCCATATCATCATAAAATTTAAGATTCCCGGATTTCGGCCAACTCTGCTTTGCCACAGCTCTCCGAGAAACCAACGCAATCCCACTTTTTGATTCACACCACGTTGGCTCGTCCGGCAAAATTGGCTAATGTCGACGTCCTGCCATTCCCCTCAACAACATCTACCGCGCAAAAGAGCCATTCAAAAGTGACATTTGCCGACCCGATTGCACAGCCAACAAGCAGTCAATCTTCTCAGAAATCGGAACCGCCACCAGCGTCATCTGATCAGCCAACAGGCACTACAGAGAACGAAGCTTTCGACGAAATGGAATCACTCATCAAGAAGCTCATGGAAGCACAGGAAAGAGGAAATCTTTCGGCGCCATTACAAGATGTTCTGCAAGGAATTATTGATGGTCTGACTGAACATTCAGCAGCAGAAGTGAGTCGTGATCAACCACCATTGATGATCGCTGAAGACACTTCAAGCAGAGGTGGTAACGGCGAATCCAGTGGACGAAAGAAGCCTAGACTTCAGAGTCAAAAACCTCCTGTTCTGCTGCCAAAATCTCCTGAAAGAACTTGTCCAAATCAGGTGGCACCTTCTAACACTCCAGCAACTGCAACAACTAGTTGCTCTAATCCTGCAAACACTCCAAATTCTCTTTTGCAAAATCCATTGGTCATGGCTTATATGCAGAACATGACTAATGTCTCAATAGTGCATCATTATCCTGTACCGGTGACAAATGCGACTTTGATGGACAAAGACCAGCATGTAAGTGTTAATAAACCTTTTCAAATGACTACAATTGCATTTTAAATAACTTTATTTACAGATATCCCAATCCTCCTTCAACAACCTCACATCATTCGATGCCCAACGCGAGATCCAGCAACGTCTCCAATGCCTACCTCAACTCGGTCCGAACCTCATCGCCGAACCTCAAGTCTCTCAACATCTCGCTCTACCTCTTCAAACGGGCCTGCGGATGCCTCAAAAACGTCCATGGTTGGAGGACTCATGTATTCCGGAAGAAGTCTCCGAAGAAAGTTGGTTGCGGACTTTGGAGAGCACGATTATCAACCTGTCTGCTGATCCAAATGCAAATCAGGAGTTGTTGTACGAAGTGAAGGTTAGCTATCTTCAAGGGCTGAAGCTGAGAGAAGAGAGAATGGAAAGAAAAAGGCAGTTGGATGCAGCGAGATTGAGAGCATTGCATGAGTTGCAGTTTATGCAGTTTCAGCAGCAACAAGCGGATGGATATAAGAAGGCAAAGAAAAATGCTGCGAAGAAAGGGGGAATAACCGGAAGTACCGTTTATGGATCTCTAAATAACTGTGTGTTTCTACAGTGACATTACGAACCCGGTTGCTTGTGAAAGAAGAAGTCGACGGTGATTTTCCTTTGTAATGATAGCATGCATTGAGGGACCGGATCCAGTGGCAAAAAACATCCCATTTTGCATCCCGGAAGGGACCTTGAAGGAAAGGGCGAGCTTTTCAAAGCGGAGTTTTTTAGCTTAGAGAAGGCTTGGAGACATTTTGGTCCCTTCCGGGAAGCAAAATGGGACGTTTTTTGCCATTGGATCAGGTCCTTCACTGTATGAACATCGTTAGGCTTGCAGTAAAGCTTAAATTTCCCAAAGCGCCGCTATAGAGTATCCTACTAGTATTTCTAGAAAGTGTGTAGAATTTTTATCGCAAAGCGTCACCGCGAATCACAGTGCAAGGTAGTTAAGAATAGCACGCACACCGCGAAAAAAGGGGCAAAATGCACTGTGAGCAGCGACAGAAAATCTATGCATTTTCTGGAAAAACGATTATTTGTGTCTAATTCTGTTGAATGGCACGCGTTAAGAAACCCTAATTAAACAAGTTATATAACTTCCAATTATATAGTAAATAAGAAAAAACTCAAACTTTTCTTTCCTCCGTCGCCAAATTATTTCCGTTCTAAACTCACATTCTTTTCAACGTTTGAAACAATTACAACTTCAATCTCTTTTGTCCATACTTATTCTGCCTCAAATCTTTCAAGCTTGTACCTGTCGAATCTACTACTATCTCCTCCCGTAAATGTCATCATATTTATCTCTTATAAACAAACGATTATTAATTTGAATAAAAAATATGTAAAACACGTTAGTATGGTAGTAATTGCACGTTAAGACAGTGATATTGATAATAACAGGGCTATTTAATTACAATATGTCATAAAATGAGAATACAGTCCCTTTTAAATACAATAAAATACCCGTATAAACTAAAAGAGAAAAGGAATTCATTGGGGAAATTACTGTAATTTTCGGTAAAATACGGCAAAAAATTTTTTGTTAAAATTAAATTTCTAATATTCAAGAAATAAAATTCAAACATTACAGTATCCCAATGAAATTCCTTTAGCTAAAAATCGATTACAAATATGAAATACGACGCGAAAAGAGTGAAGAAAGTGTTGAGCAGACCCAAGGAACTAAAAATATTCACATAATACCGGATTGTGTACACAGTTTGTTGAGCTAATTCGATTATTTCTCCGACTCAATGTATAAAATGTCATCTTCCTGCGGCTCGGAGCTGTAGGGGTTCGAGGGAGAGCTGAAATAGGGATTTTTGAAATTTGTAAAAAAAAATTTTTTTTATTTGCTATGGAATAAAGCTATTTTCAAAAAAAATTATTTTTTTTTTAGATTTGAATATTTATTTTTTCGAAAAAAAATCGACCGAAATTCCTTACCGTTTCCGTCGATACTTCCCGCTCTCCAACTCATCCGCCCTCAATTCCTTCAGCTCTTCAGTCCCTCCAACTTTCAACAACTTCGTCCCCACATTATTGGCCTCCGAATATGGAGGTGGTGGAGGGTTGGAATCCTTCATCATCTGCTCCAAAAAGCCGGGTAATCGAAGGAATTTGCGAATCAGGAAGATTAGAAGGGCGATCAGGGAAAGGATCAGGAGAATGGTGATGATCAGGGGGACCGAGTAATGGAAATATCTGAAAAATTTGAGATATTAGAGGAGAAAAATCGAAAAAAAATTTATTATTATTTTTTTTTGAAAATTCGTTTTTTTCTAAAATTTGCATAAATTAAAATTAAAAAAAATTTTTTTTGCAAAAAGATACCACAAAATTTTTGGCATAGATTTTGATGAAAAATGTGATAAATTAAAAAAAATTCTAAAATTTTTAGCAGAAATTACAAAGATTTTTAAGTCAAAAACTGCAAAAAAATTCAAAAAAAAAACATTTTTTGCTTGGTATTTTAGGAAACTGAAACAATAAACGTATTTTACCATAATCATTTTACCATGACTTTTTTTTTATTTTTTTGACTTTTTGGCTCAATTTTATAACTTTTAAAACATTTTTTTACGTTAGACTTACGTTTTATGTTCCACTTCAACTTGTCGAATCCGAATCTCACAGAATCCCCCGGTGAATCCAGCAGGGCATTGGCAATTATAACCAGTCTCATTTTTCATACATTTCCCTTCGTTCAGACATGGAGAACTCTGAAAAAATAAATATTAAATTAAAAAAGAAATTATTTTACTCACTTAGAATTCACCGCGTATTTTAACCTCACAATTCCACAAAATTTTTGCGAGAAAAAAAAATAAAAATCACCGTATTTTTTATTCCGAATTTTTATCTAATTTGCCTAATTACTCATAAAAATGTTGCGCAATCTCCATAAAAATGCCCGTAAATTCGGCGATAATCGTTTTCGGGGGCGAAACACGAGATTTTTATGGAAAACAAACATGGCGACAGATTGATATTGTGTATACCAGAGGGTCAGACAAACATTGCGTAACATTTTTGAAAAAATTCTGAGGGTAAAATACGATGAATGACATTAATTTTTTTTAAATAAAAAAAATGTAAAATACGAAGAAATATATTACTTACCCTACAATCCACGACAACCATTTCACAATGAATTCCGAAGAACCCCGTAGGGCACTTGCATTCGATTCCACCTATTTTATGCGGATTTTCGATGCATTTACCACCTAAAATACGAAATTAATTTTAATCATCAAAAATTTTAAAATTTTTATAGATTGAAGATAACAGTTTTCTAAACACTTACTAAGATTTTTAGACCAAAATTCGCAAAAATAACAGAGATATAAGCGATTTAAAAAGCTAGGGCGCAGTCTGCGCAATTTTTTTTGATTTTTTAGCCTTTTTCAGGCAAAATTCCCAAAGTATATATCGCTTACCGTTTCCACAAGAATTCTCAGCACACGCGAGCACTTTTTGATCGCAAATATCGCCTCGGAACCCCTTCGGACACGCACAGTGCACTCTTCCCTCCGCTTCGAAGCACTGTGCGCCATTTTCACAGGGCAAATCCCGGCAAGAGCTCCCTTTCACTTGACAATATCGACCAAATGTGCCTCGAGGGCACTCACAACTCAATGGATGACCAAATGGCTAAAATATGAGGGTAAAATGCGGAATCAAAAAATTTATGAAAAAATAAAAATTTCCGAAAAAATAAAAAATTTTTTTTGAAATGCTTGAAATGATGTTTAAAGCTCACCTGAACACATTTTCCGCCATTTTGACATGGCTCATCAGCACAACTGGTCACTTTTTTCTCGCACTGTGCACCCATGAAGCCGGGAGGGCAGTCGCAACTGAAAAAAGTTGGATAAAAAATTTTTTATTTGGGTTAAAATTAAGTTAACTCAATATTTCGTATTTTAAAAAAGCAAAATTTTTTATAAAATTTTAATTTTTTCATATTTTTTGCTATTTTCGTAACTTTTTTTTCATTTTCCAAAACTCACCGATATTTTCCCCCGGCCAAATTCAGACATCCCCCTCCATTCAGACACGGTTTTTTGGCCACACAAACACTGGCCATATGCGTGCAATTGGGGCCAGAATATCCGGGAAAACACTTGCATTCATTGGGACGTTCGCAGTACCCATTTACACAGCCTTCTTGGGGCCTACAACGATCGCATTTATCGCCTTGATAGCCGAAATTGCATTCACATTGGCCGTTCTTTTTACAGTAGCCGTTGAGACATTCGGTGGGGCAGGCGGAGGCTGAAAAGAAGATTTTTTTGAAAAATTTTAGGTTATAAAACATATAAAAGAAAAACAAAAAAAAAATAATAATAATAATAATAATAATAAAATAAAAATAAATTTTTTGGCAAAAAAATCATAAAAAACTTTCTATTTTGCCCCTATTCCTTACCTCGATCGCATTTGTCCCCGTAAAATCCACTTTTGCAGACTTTTGTTCCATTTTTGGGATCGCATTCGAACTCCCCGGTTCTTTTATCGAACTCTGTGATCTGACAATGACTCCAGCAATCTTCCCCGTAATAATCGGCGGCGCATTCGGATTTCAAGGAGAGATCGGCCCGTTCGTCCCAATCCACGTAATGCCGGGGCAATGGGCCTTTCCAGACTTGGAGGTCTGCAAAAAACAAATTATACTGGTCATAAAATCTTTAAATTATGATTTTAGGCCTTTATGCATACTTTAGGCGGCAATGAAAATTTAATTTTAAATAGTTTTGTATCTTTTTCTGTCTTACTGTAAGTTTTATTTCAACTTTTTTCGCAATTTTTATGTTTTTGTGCTGTTTTCTTGATAAGAAGCAAAAAGAAGAGTCAGCTCAAGAAAAAGGTATTTTAGAAGTTTTAAAATACGTTTAACAAATTGTCTGTGATTTTAGACAAGTTTAAGGATGAATTCAATAAAATCCGGACGATTTTTGTATGTGGAATGGCAAAACCGGTAAGTTAAAAAAAAATAGAATTAAAAACTGTATTATTTTGTATTATTTCAGGGCAAAACCTCATTTATTAATCGATATTTCGATCGAAATGAGAATTCCGAGCCAACCTTTGGACTTTCCTACAGATTTGCCACTAAAATATTTGAAAAATTTTGTCCTCGCCGTATTTTACCCCATTCTTTTTATCAAATTCTTTTTGCTCACTCACAGTTAGTCACTTGAAAGTGCCGAGCGCCGTGCCTCATTGGCTCAGGGGCAGAGCGTCTGTCTAGTAAACAGAAGGTCGCTGGTTCGATTCCAGCATGAGGCAGTCTTCCTTTTACTTTGTTCGAAATGAAATTTTACAGCAGGTAGAGCTATTTTAAGCGTATTTTACAAACCATTATTTTTTAAAAACTGCAAATTATTCTTACTTCAAATTTTGCTTGTTACAGTATTCAAATTCATACCTCAACTTTTTCAACTTCCCAAATCGTTTGATTCCCACGAACTTTTGTGATCCTTTAACCCCTTTCCGCTGACTAATCCCTCTAATCCAATTAGCCATTCGATTTGGAAAAGGGGGAGATCTGGGAATGGAAAGAAGTGCCGACACAGTAAATAAATGACCGTTTAGGGTCATTGTTTGCCCGGCAAATAAAAGGCCAGGAAAGTTCATTTTGCCAGGAAAAGAGAGTAACAACCAAATTTAGATTTTTTGGGGGAAAATGGTAAAAAAATTAGCAAAATTTGGAAGAATTGTCATGGATAATTTAACTTTGGTTTTAAAAATATGTAGTAACAAATTTAAATGGTTTTTCGAGGCTGATAAATCACTAAAACAAACTTTTTTGTAGCCAAAATCATTTTAGATTTTCAAAAAAAAAAAAAAAAAAATTTTTTTGTCAAGTGTAATATAAATTTTTTATTTTTTTGCATGGCAAAGTGCTCACTAATTCCTAATTTTTTTACTCTCTACATTGTTTGCACAGCCCATTTTCTGACCTTTTGCGCAACATCAAAAAAAATGGCTTCTGTCTAAATTTGCGATAAAAAATATGGTTGATAAGAGGGTCGAATAAACATAAAAAATAACGACACGAGCCAAAACGGCTATAAAATTGATAAGAAAGCATTGAAGAAAAAACTCTTTTTTGTGGTAAAATACGATCAATAAAATCAGGCTTTCAAAGTTATTTAGTTATTTACCAGTAAGTTGATTGCCATTTTTATCGGTATCCATCCGTTCCAACGTCGTGATGTTGAAAAGATAGGTCTCCAGGGAGATTGTGACAGAGTTCTGAAAAAAAATTTTGGGAAAATTAAGGGTAAAATACGAGCTGAAAAAATCGAAAAAATAAAAAAAATCGAAAAAAAAATTTTAAAAAATAAAGAAAAATCAAAAAAAAAAAATGATAAAAAATAACAGATTTTTATTCCAAAAAATTTTTTTAATTGCGTCATTTTTGTTATATTTTTTTGATTTAAAAAAAAATAAAATTTCTTACTCGAGTATTGTTGATAGCGACCTTGATGCTCAGCGGTTCCCCCTCTTCAACCCAGGTCCAATCTACAGTACCCTCTCCGAACAGGCACTGTTGATTTGGAACGAAATTGTGTTGGAATTGCTTGACACAAATCCGAGTCCGACAATTCCGCGCCTTGCAATGATTGGGACGGAATTGGTGCGTAAATTTTAGGTTCAACATCGATAGAGAGTATGTCTGAAAAAAATAAGAAATAAAAAGTATTTAAACATAAAAAAATTAAAAAATAAAAAAATCCAAAAATAAAAAAAATAAAAAAATCAATACAATTTTTAGATAAAAAAACGTTTTTTGTTAAAAAAAATTCAAAATTAAAAAAATTTGATCAAAAATCCCGATAACTCCCACAAATTTTACGCCCAAAAACTTCAAAAATTCTGGTCAAATTTTTCGCCACAATCCGAATTTCAAATTCTGAGAAATACGAAATTTTACATCCAACTTACCTGTTCAAGAACCTCCAAAATTACAAAAACTGTAATATACAGTGAAATGGTCTTTGGCCACGCTTTTGATATCCTCATTTTGCACTTAGTTTAGAAAGAAAATAAAAAACAAAAAATGAAAAGGGATCTGTTACAGTAATCCTCTCCTTTTTCGTCCAGATCCGTTCCAAATCACCCTAAAAATGCCGATTTAAAATGAGATTTCGAGTATTTATAGGGCGGGTAGTAATGTCGCGCGGGAAAAAAATTGAATTCCAATGCAAATTAGAGAGGCTGGAGGTGGAAATAAATTGAGATTTCTGCGGAAAATGGGATTTTTTGATATCTTTTGGAGACGAAAATTAACAGGTGGTCATGAATAATATTTTTGGGGGAAAATAATGGAAATTCAGAGAAAAAATGGTTGTTAACAAAATAGTTAAAAATGAGATGTAAAATACGCTTTGGGTTTAGTCATGATTTTAAAAAAAGAATAAAAAAACAGTTCGGAATTACTTGTAAAATACGACAGAGGCTTTGATTACGTCAATAAAACACCATTTGAGAGGAAATGTCATAGAAAAGAGCATTACATGTCAAGTCAAGAGTAAATCAGTGATTTGGATTTTTGTCATAAACACAAAATTAAAAAAAATAGTATTCGGTCGATTTCTTGGTCGACCTGAAAAATAAATGAAACTTTTTTTCAAAATTGATCTTTTTATAGCTTTTCAAATTTTCTGAGGTTTATTTTGACCGGTAAAAAGTGAAGGAAATTAAATGATAATATGTATATACGGAGAAATTAAAAAAAAAAAAAAAAAAAAAAAAAAAAATAGTCAAAGATTGATAAAAAAAAGTTGCGTAAAAACAAGAATGAGGTAGTACAGCCTCTAAAAGATACTGTAAATCACTTTTTTCACAACAAAAAAAATAAAAAATTCGTTTTAACACTAAAAATTTTTGATGTCCAAAACAAAATAAAATCACCCCAAAACTCGATGATCCCCTCTAATTACCCGTCTCGATTGCCAACAAACCCATCCTCGGCTAATTTGCATACACTTGTTCAAGGCCACGCCCATTCGCTCGCTCATGATTCGCCCATTAAAAGGACGGAACTTAATTAGCAAAAAACGACTTAATTACAGGTGGAAGGGGAAAAGGAAGATGTTTTTGAGGCGGGAGGGAAAAACGAAAGTGTTTCTTCAACGAGATTAGGGATGAGAAAGGCGAGATGAAGGCGTAATAAATCCGGGAGTGGGAAAAACATTTTGTGAGGAAAAAATTAAGGTAAAATACGGAGAAAGCATTAAATTGCTAACAGTGAAAATCGAGGGCATAAAGTTGATTGGCTCTTTCAGTTCAAAATCAGCAAAATTTTTTGGTAAAAAATAATTTTTTTTTTAATTTTGGATATTACAGGTGCTATTGGATTGGCAATAGAACAATTTTTGACCAACATTTGCCTCGAAAATGAGGAGAGACATTCAAAAAAGGGAAAATTTTGTGTCCTTTGGGGCCTTTCGCAGAAAAAAATTTAGTGGAAATTATCCCCCAGGCTATGGAAAAATTTTTAATTCTTCGCCACAAAATTACTATCAGTCTGTCGGAAAAATAACGGCGGATCGTCGCAGCAAAATGTCTCGCCTCGCCGCTATCGCGCACCAAATCCCAAGCCGCGGCTTGCAGTCGCAAAGCGATGACGAGCGACTCCGAGGCGCGACGATCCGCCGTTTTTTTCCCGACAGACTGATAAAAAATCTTTATTTTGGATAAATTTCGGCTAAAAAATCCCGATCTTTTCAACAAATTGTAAGCCAAAAATTTCATACATGCCTTAGAAATGCCTCAATTTTCATGAATAAAATTTTTTTAAGGATCCCAAAATTTTTTCATTTTTTTCTCAAAACTTATTTTACACAGCCTCAACCTTAATTTAATCCATTTTTCAAAACAGAAATTCAAAAATACTCCCTCCAAAAAACACCTCCCCCTCCCAATCCCCTGCCCACCCTCGCTTTCCCTCCAATTCCCAAGACTTTTACTACTTTTCAAAGTATTTAGTAGTGAAATTAGAATCCCTCACTGGAAATTCCGGCGTTCCGAAAACGGAAAATTTCCCGCTGTGATTTCGGATGATTCGAAATGATCCGCCCAAAAAGTTTAATGTCGATTTAAGGGCTTTGAGAGGGGGGAAAAGGAACGGAGAGGGGGAAATTTCAATTCTAGAATATTGCTAAAGGTCTTTTAGAGGAAAAATAAGTGTATTTAAAAAAGAAATAATCAAAAAATATTTTGTTTTACTTAAAAAATCGTTGAAAATAAAAAAAAAATAAAAAAAGTCACCTACAAATGAATTTAACCCAAAAAAGCTTGTTTCTGCCCTTAGGCATCTTCCATTATACGGTTTTATTTTGATAAACTACTCGATTTACATCGATTTTGTACAGTACCCATCTTCTGCACTTAAAAATTTGCATAAATTTATTAAATTTGCCCAACGAATCTCCATGGTTTTTGTCAAAATTTAACCTTTATAAAATACGGAAGTTGGAATAGCATCCTTTGAAAAAATAGTACGATATAGAATATCAACATATCCCATCAATATTTCTCGCAAAAATCCCACCTTTTCCCAATTCTTCGATCACAAAAACCGCCGGAAATTAAAAGGACGATCGCGCTGAAAATTTATGCAAATTAGAAGTTTGATTGAGGTTTCCGGCAAGTTGGAAGAGTCTTTGTGACTTGTCCGATACTGAAAAGGATCAATCAGAAAGGAAAGGGGATTAGTTTTTCTCTTTGCGGATTTTTGGATATTGATTTTTTGATTGCACTGTGCGGTGGAAATTGAGGAGAGAAACGGGACTTTCTGGAAGTGTAGGGTAAAATACGAATGGACACTATGAACGAACATAAAAAAGAACCAATCTGAGTGATTTACTACATTTTACAGCGGCTAGAAAAGTCTGCACGGTGCAAAATCAAAAGTTTTTTAACTGCACTGTGCAAAATTTGAAAAGTGGCTTTAAGGGTATAAGAAGGCGGGAAAAAGGTTGAAAAATGTTTACCATCGTTTTTTACGCTGTAATAAAGCGATATTCACTATTAAAATTTTTTTAATTTTCTGCACGGTGGAAAACTTGCTAACAAGGGAAGTCGTTCAGATCGCAAATGAGTTGAGCTATGGGACCGGTATATTCTGATTCTCCATATTTCAAAACGGTAAGAGCTAAAACAGTTTTTGCGTCTGGGCCCTAGTTTTCGAGAAAATCGACCGTAAAGTTTGATCGGAAACCCCGCTAAATAGTCTTCGCTCCGAAAGACCTTTGGATCAAGAGCCAAATGGCGGAGGGCGAGTGAAAACGCTCTCGAAATTCTTTTGTCCGGGATGCCGGGGAAGGTTCGAGTCCCGCTAGGAGCAAACCCTGATGTATAAATTCATAGTGGTTGCAAAGCAAAAAAAAAATTTTCCTTTTACATACTTTGGAGAAAATCTTGAAATGCATGCCAAATAGGCATATTTCTGCGCTGAACTCAAAAATGAAGTGTTTATTCCTAAAAAAACTATTTGATCTGAAATTATTGGGGTACACTTCACCACAAAAAACTAAAATTTTTTTATTTTTTATCATTTTCAATATCAAAGCTCTTTGAACATGGGTTTGAGCCTAGCGGGACTCGAACCTTCCTCGGCATCCCGGACAAAAGAATTTTGAGAGCCTTTTCACTCGCCCTCCGCCATTTGGCTCTTGATCCAAAGGTCTTTCGGAGCGAAGACTATTTAGCGGGGTTTCCGATCAAACTTTACGGTCGATTTTCTCGAAAACTAGGGCCCAGACGCAAAAACTGTTTTAGCTCTTACCGTTTTGAAATATGGAGAATCAGAATATACCGGTCCCATAGCTCAACTCATTTGCGATCTGAACGACTTCCCTTGTAAGATAAAAATTGCACAGTGCAGTCGGAAAAAAGATGATATAAGGCAAATTAAAACAAAATGTGACATCAACTGAGTCCAAGGGATACATACGTACTTATCATCACTAAATTTTTAATGCCAAATCCCGTTTATCTAATTTTTTGTCAAAAAAAAATGAAAATAAAAAATTTGAAAATTTCCCCATTGCAAAAAATCATGATGACATAACCCCAATATTATTTGCAAAAATTGCGCCTTGCAGGCAAGCTTTTCACAACAAACAGTCTCTCATTCCACCAACCATTCCTTAATTTCCCCTAATAACCTCATCAAAGCCCCTCTCTCAATTGGGATGCCCCAGCCCCAGGTAAAAAACCTCTGGATCCTTGTTTGTGACGCTCTGGAATAAGCGATTGGCCCTTTATTCGCCGCAAATAAGGCAACAGGCGATCCTTTTTTCCAGGAAAAGAATTCTTTGTTGCGACACTTTTCGCGCCTCCAAAAGAAATGTTTTGCTCAAGTCAAGTGCTGGATAAGCAAAAGTTCTATGGCAAAGGTGGGAAAGAGAGAGAAGGGGGATTAGCGGGTGGAGGAACAAGTTCAAGAGCAGTGGAGATAAGGGTAGGTCAAAAAGGGACTTTTTTATGAATTTATCGGAGATGTCGGGAAAATCGAAAAACTGGATTTTTTGATGACTAAAAAATTTTTTATGGTCAAAAAAGGTGCTTCTGTGACAAAAGATGTTGGAAATACAATGAATTTTAGGTAGAACGAGCAAAATTGTTGGCCCAAATTTGTTATAAAGAAGTTTTTTCAAAGCTGCAAGATATCATTTTGCCTAGTACAATATTTTTTTTTATCTAAAACTTGTTTTTTCAGGCAGAAAAAATTGAAGATTACATATTTTACAACCCTTCCACTACCAAGTTTTCCTATTTTCACCCTAATTTCCCTATATTTATTCAAGTCCGTGCCTCATTGGCTCAGGGGCAGAGCGTCTGTCTAGTAAACAGAAGGTCGCTGGTTCGATTCCAGCATGAGGCAGTCTTATTTTTTGAGCATGAAAAAATTTTATGAGAAAGGTGTATGTGACTATTCCGTATTTTACCATGCGTTTTGATGTAATCTCGGATTTTTTGAGCATGTTTTTCAAGATTTTTTAAAAAATTTGTTT